TTTCGGAATCTGAGCTCCTCACACAATCCAGCCAGATTAAACCCGGGATGTAACGTAGACAGGCCCTCCTGAATGTTTGTAACCGGCGCTGATGTTCCATTAGAGGGGTCTACGTTTCGCAAGCATAGATAAGTGAAGGGCATATATGACTGTGCCCGAGAAGACCCGGAGCCTCGTTTGGAGCGACAGGCCAGGTAGCTTCAACGCAGCAGCGTTTCGCAGCCGGTAAAACAAAAATGCCGCTCGACTGATTCGGAGCGAGACATCCGCTGCCAAACCGGAGTTGATCAGGTCAGGGGAACTCCTTCCACTCCACAACTGCCCCATCACTCCTCAAAAGTTGAGCGAGTGTGGAGTGTTTTGATGACACAGAGTACCCAAGTAGGTGCTTTGTTTCGGTGGGACTAATGGTTTGACCCGACCCCTTCGTGGCAAACTCCATGGAAGTCTTCATCTAACAGTGGATAGATCGTGGCTGATGAATGTTGGGGGGTGGGCGTTCCAGAATCAACCGCTACGGTTTTGCATGGACACACATTGAAAAAAACGTAATTTAATTCGTCATTTAACATTCTAAACATGTAAACAAATTTCCGCTATATCAATACAAATGTATATTATCTGTGCGTTAGGTGAACTATTACAATCGCAGGATCGTGAGAGATGGTGGCAGCTCTGACGTGTCCTTAGTCCAGCAGTGGATTGAGCAAGGCGAACTGCCACTGATGATACACGCATCAGATAATCTGCTTTTACATATTCGTCAGTGGCACACGCCCGGAGGAGCATTTGCAATAACAAACACGCTTAATTAATGCCAAGGCTGCACAAGAACACGCACACATATATAATATACACATTATATACATGATGAATGTGATGTGAAGAGGTGGGAATCCCCGACTCTGCTGGCCACGATGATGGCGGTCGTGGAGCGGGGCGGTGCGTGGGTGGGCCGAGCGATTTGATTCGCGCTGAGACTGCCGCGGCTTTGACCATGGCCACTAACCTCGGACTGCTGTGACGAGGGCAACTTGCTGGTACTGATCTGAAGCAGCAGCAGCAGCCGCAGCCGCTGATTGTGTCACATTGAGGGTATTTTACCCCTGACATTTAGGAATCGCCCTTTTCGTTTCTGGCTAACCCCAAACCCCAATGCCAACCCTACGCTTACCGCACCAAAACAAAGACAAAGATCCCCCCCACACACACACACCCCCGTTGTAGCCCTAATAAGACTGTTTGGGGCAAATGCTGTTATCGAGTATCGCCTATTAAGGCATGGCTGGTGCAGGTGGTTAGCGCACGGGACTTGCAACCCAGAAGGTCGTTGGTTCGATCTCCCACTGCGACAGTTGAAACAATGGGTCTCTGTGTAAGTCTGTAGGTCTCTGTGTAAGTCTGTGGGTCTCTGTGTAAGTCTGTGGGTCTCTGTGTAAGTCTGTGGGTCTCCATGTGAGTCAGTGGGTCTCCGCGTAAGTCTGTGGGTCTCTGCGCCTCTGCGTAAGTCTGTGGGTCTCTGTGTGAGTCAGTGGGTCTCTGTGTGAGTCAGTGGGTCTCTGTGTAAGTCTATTGGTCTTTGCGTAAGTCTGTGGGTCTCTGTGTGAGTCAGTGGGTCTCTGTGTAAGTCTATTGGTCTTTGCGTAAGTCTGTGGGTCTCTGTGCGAGTCAGTGGGGACTCCATGTGAGTCAGTGGGTCTCCGCGTAACTCATGTAGCAGGCTTTTGCGACCATTATTATGCATAATAAAGTTTTCGGGTTAAATCGCAAAAGTATGTGTCGTAACCCTCCACCACCCGACACGGCCAGAAAGGTTTGTCACGTAAACAAAAAGTGCCAATGAGTTACTAAATCAGCTCACCAGTGTGTTGGAGAGTATTTGGATTTAATTCTAGATTTAAAGCTTTCGTGACTGCAAGGATCCATAGTCTTTGGTTCTATTCGGTAAAGTCACGTAGGAAAAAGATAAAACAACAAAAAATCACGACGTTTCGGCCACAACACAAGCGGCCTTCATCAGGTGAAGGGACCAGGCTGTCTCGAGGACAGCGCTGGAGTGGAACACAGCCACGCTCAGACCGCGACCTTTAAGCTGTGTGCGAGGAAACAAGGTGCCTTGACAAAGGAATTAGCATAAAAAAATAGCATTTGATTGCCCGACTTGGCATAGAAGTTGTGTAAATGCAAGTGCACATGCCGGTTGGCGTGGGGGGGGGGAGTTTCCCTATTGATGGTGTGAAAAGGGAATTTAAGAGCTGCGAAAGTTTGGGGTACCACTACTTGAAAAATATACTGTACCATTGAAAATTAGTTTAATGTTTGGTTCGATTTAGAACATCTTTCCAATGGTTGCTTAATTTGAAACCATCTTCTCGGTTGAAATTGTGTCTGTGCTAGTAGATCTGAATTGCCTCGTGAACAAATCTCTGATAAAAACCCGTGGGTTTGCAAATAACCTTGGTATCGGAGAAAACTGGATTTGTCTGGTAGTGGAGGGTTACGACACATTTATACTAACCCAAAAACCTTTATTAGAAAAGTTACAACTGCTTTTTTTGTAAGATGCAGTGCTGCACCTATGCGTGGTTTAAAGATCCAACCGCTCCCACTCTCTCTCTCTCCAAAACCTCCACCTTTTGCAGAGTCTAGCTCCAGAAACCAACACCAACCAACCAACCACCACCACCATCGTCCCGTAATCCCCTGCTCACAGAAAGCGTGCGATACAAGCCGAAGGCAAACCCCGGCAGAGGCAAGTGTGGGTGTCTTTATCTCTCGGTCGAATTTTTACCCCCCCCCCTTTCAGCACTGAAATATCCACCGCAAACCAGAGACCAACATCGCCACCCCCTCCCTCCCTCCCCCCCTCCTGGGCTTTTTTGTTGTTGTTGCTGCTGCTGTTGCCCTTTCAGTTGAATCTTGAACATGGGAAAAAAAAGCACGCGCGATTTGTTACTTTTAAGTCTTGTTTTGCTCGATTGTGTTTTGAGCAAGCGACGGTTGTTGTTGTTGTTGCTGCTGCTGCTGCTGCGCGTTGAACTTCCTTCACACCATACGTGGCCAACTGTGCCAATCGGAGGGTGTCTTTCTTAATCGAGATCCGTAAACGTTGCAGTTAGTTTTAATGGCAGGGTCGGTGAAAGGTGGGCCTAGGTTTTGGCCAACCTTGGCCAGCCGACTCAACATAGTTAAGTTAAATTACATTTTTGAAATCGATTAGTCGTACAGCACCACGCGCTTCGTTAACAAATAGATAATTTCCAGCAATTCGTTCATGAGATCCACCCCCCCACCCCCCATACAGTGTTTACGAAGAGCTCTATAGCCACTACCACAGGGCGCACGGTGGGAGGGGGTGGAAGGGTGGGCGTTCGGTGAGCAATGAACGTGAAGGTGAGCAGATGATGGCTCAGAAGATTCATAATGGACGTGTGAGAGGCAATCATCTGGTAGCCACGGAGATCCAGTGAAGGTTATCCAAAATCCGGCGAAATGTTGGGATTGTGGTCTGGGGTATGGAGACCTAACGAACTTATTTATTTTAATTTATTTTCTCTGCGATAATTTTTTCTTACGTGCATTTTTTCTCTCGTTATTTATTCATTTTTTAATTCTGCTTAGTAGCGGGTTTTTAACATGGAACTTTTCTTGCCAGTTGTAAAATATAACAATAGGTTACCCTTTCTGGCAAAAAAACAGGTGTCAAGATGCTAAAACACCATGCTCTGAAAATATATGACAATGCATATACTCTCAGAGGATGTTTTTTTTGTTTGCATGTTCACCACAAGGACGTGTGGTTAATGCAGACAGGATTCCTTTAATAAGGATTCTGTTTGGTGTTTTAACATCTTCACACAACTGTTTGATTGCCAGAAAGGGTAAAACCTATTATGTTATAGCGGGCTTTTATTTTCGTATTTTTTTGTACGGAACCGGATAATTGATGTACAGCGCTATGGGATGCAATTGCATGAATGACGCTATATAAAATGCAATGATTATTTTAATCCGGTATTTCAGTGGCCGTAATGGGTTTAAGTGACCCCTTCGCTGGTGGCCACTCAATTCATCGGAATAAAAAACAATCGACTCAAGGGTGGCCGATTGGCTGAGAGGTCAGAGTACCAAGCCGGTCTCTGAGATGATGGTCTCAGCTTAGGCCACCAATGACTTCACAACAACAACGAAAACCACCACACTGAAATGTTATTTTGCACTAAATTTGGCTCAATTCCAGCACTGAGAATGAAAACTGTTGGTTTTTGCTCACGTGACATTTATCTATGTGCAGCAGGGCATGTGGGTAAGTGCTGCCCCCTAGTGTGTATACAAGTGGCCACGTGTGATCTCAGAAGCAGCTCTGTGAGATCTCCTTCCACGGACCGTTCTGCGAGTGGTCCGAATAATTAACTCTCCGTCTTGTGACGCGACGCAGACGAGTACGAGCCGGTTAAAACCAGAAGTGGAAAAACAACATTCGACTCTTTAATTGAGTCGCGACAATTCATCCAATTGCCAGTGTGGTTAGTCATCGTCATCCCCATTCCGGAATGGGCCTTTTAGAGCCACCGTCGGGAAAGTGAAACCAAACTGGTCTATCATATTGCTAGAAAACACAGAGGAGCAAATCTCATCGTCTGCTGCTGTTGCTGGCGGATGGATGCCGTCAACACACTCACTGCCCCCTCCGATTAGCACGCTTGGGTACGTACGGTGCGAAAGAATTTCAACAAAGACTTGTAGTCACTCACCCACTAAAAGTCACTCACCCACACACTTACCGCACCCTCCGATTAGCACGGTTGGCTACGTACGGTGCGAAAGACGTTCAACATACATAGACTCAAAGTCACTCACCCACACCCTCACCACACTCTCCGATTAGCACGGTTGGCTACATACGGTGCGAAAGAAGTTCAACATACCTACGCACAAAGCACACGCGGCTGCCGCTGATCCATACAGCCCGCAAATAGTTCACATCTCTGTAGCGGTACTCTTGTTCATTCCAGTTTTTATTCGGTTTTGGCGGCCTTGCCGATCTCCCCCCTTAATCTACCGATCAGCTTGCCTTCCCCCCCCACCGCCCCCCTCCCGCCCTCCTCGTTAATTGCCGTCGCAATTCTATTTACAATCGGCGAAGAACTCGTTAGCAAATGCTTAAGACGCCAACTAAGAACAACGGCAGATGCGATAAAGACAGCAGCAGCAATAGTAATCACGATAATAATAATAATATATACAGAGACATCACGACGAATGTCGACGGAATTGTCGGCACGAATTATTAACCATTTAAGTAAACGCGTCCAACGACGTTTTTTTGTATTATCAAACCCCGCCAAATGCTGCCCGGGGTTATGTTCTGGGGAGGCAACTCGGGCCCTACCAGTGTCGGTGCCAACGGCGGAACGGGGCGACGTGATGTTAATCACCTTCCCAGCCACGGCAAACGTCGAAGCGGAGAGAGGTCATTCCACCCAGTGTGGTTAATGCCACAGCGCGACCCAGCCATCTCTACAAAATGATTTAATTTCTACATACATTCACCAAACACCTAGTTGCCCCCGTGCGAGAGTCAACTCGAGCCAACTCGAGCCCACTGGATTTGCCGGATTTCTAAAAGTCAATTTGAAAGGCAACCCGGGGTGATTTAAAACACGCGCAAAAAAGGTGTCGCCTCCTTGATTTTTCCGGGGACTTGAATTATCGTGCGAGTTGGGCAGAGGTGGTTCCGAGAAACGCTTAACGGGTAGGGACCGCATTGCTCATGATGTTAAATGTTAAAAATCAAACGTTCCCACCACCCACAGCAATGCTTGATTGTCACAGGTCTGGCGACGAATTTCCCCTGCGCACGGATATTCTGACGGAGTGAATTGGGGCGCGGCTGCACGTGCGAGACTGGCCCGGAAAGTTCGAGCTCTTGGCCTAACTCACGTCTCAACTCTCAACCCATTCACGGCCCAACTCGCAACCCAACTCTTGACCCAATTCACGGCCCAATTCATGGCCCAACTCAGGGCCCAACTCAGGGCCCAACTCAACTCTCAAATGATCCATTGCCGAGCTCCCATCTGTGTTGGGCCTCGTGGCTCTCTCACATTTCGCTTGTGCCGCAGCGTTTTCCGCGCCAGTCGTCCAACCCGGATTTCGCGCGTGGCCGAATGTGGCATTGCAATTTAAGTTTTCGTCGGAATTCAAAACAATGGAAATGCACTGCAAAGGAGCAACATTAAAACAAGGGTACCATTTCACAAGCAAGGAAAAACACAGTGAGCATTTGTACATACTCGCGCGCGCGCACGCACGCAGACACAGTCACACACAAATAAGATGCATCGTTACCTTTGACAAGATGTTCTCAACTGTCAAGGTCTATGGGCGACGTTAGGTGGGGGCAACTGTTAACAGTTGTTTGCAACAATTATCACGTTCATGTTGACATTGGCCGAGTGGCACAGGGGTCAGAGAGCTCACGGTCAGGAAGTCGGACGTTCGAATCCTGGTTGAGGTCCGGCTCGACCCACCATCCCTCCGTGGTTGGTAAAACGAGCGGTGCCACTTTGTGGTTGTGCTAGGATAGACTAGCCTCTGGCGTACCACTGTGGAATTTCCAACATTGGTTCAGGGCTACAAATGGACACGAGCACTGGTGCAACACTCGCTTGTTCGAGAACACTCATTTTTGTGGAAATGTTTTAGAAATGTTGAGCGATGTTTTAGGGAATGAGCTCTTTGGTGACCTGTGCTTTTGGCATGGAAAACTACGTGGGAAAATTAAATGAGGCCCATACGATTGCTCTTCGAGACAAGTGTTAAATTAATGTTGGGTTATCGTACAAGCGTTTAAATACGGGTATTACTCTTACTTTTTTCTGCAACATAATCGCGTTCCACCTTTATCGAAAGACGGAGTATTCGATGCATACGGCAGCCTGCGACGTCTCGCATAGACCTCAGCTCAAGGGCGCGGTTGGGCCACGGGCCAAGAGGCAAGGACTCGGGAGCGGTGGCCCACGGTAGCTAACGTGGCCTCCCTGAACGGTTCAAAGATCGTGCTAAAAGAGGCGGCCCCCCGGTGGCAAGGTCAGAGCGTTGAGCTGGCACCGCCGATATTCTGGGTTCATCCCAAGTTCTCAAGCGTGGCGAGTGGACGGACTGAGCCCCAGTCACCAATGGCTGCACATAATTAAAAAAAAAACGTAACAATGAATTTGGTTTTAAACTTCCAGCTGTGAGAATTAAACAAAGCATTGGTTCGACTGTCACCCGATGGGCAATACTCTCAGAGGCCGCTTAAAAGGGACCTCAGTGGTAGCTCCGTGTTATCCGCTTCCGCGGGCCGTTCTCCCACACGAGGGTGACCACTGGCTCCGCGAGAGACCTCAACGGATTCTACATCTCGCGACGCGACACCGATAGCACACCGTCGGGATAACACCGCGGGGGGGGAAAAGACGCAACAAAAACAAAACGAATTAAAAAAAAAACTCGCTGCACTCGAACAAAACGGCCGACGGACGCGCGGCGATTTTTGCAGCAGACATGCGAGCACAGCGTCGTCTACAGGAGCGCACGGTACAAAGCGGCAGATCGTAAAACCATTACGGTGGCTCGCGACCCACCTTCGCTCGAGGCGCGACGTAGCTCAGCGTTCTTCACTCATTATCAGAGGGGGGCGGGTCACTTTCGCCGATAAGACATCATCGGTGTGAGGGCCGCCACACGTTTGAAACCACTGGGGGCTCGACAGCAGCGCGATGATGATGATGATGGGTGGGGTGTTTTCACACGTAAAGAACCCAACGTGACCTAACGGCCCACTGAGGCCTCGCTTGAGTGAAGACCCCGGCGGGAGGGGTTGAAGTTGATGCCGTGGTCATTACCGCGCGGCGCTACGAACTCGCCGCGGGCCGAGTTAAATTCCCAGCCAGGGCCGACATAGGTGGCGAGCGGTATATACGAACCGGTCCTCGGGTGCCCCCTTCACCAACCGGCAGTGACCAGTATGGTGAAGTATGGTCAAGCAACCCCCCCCCCGCCCCGCCCCGCCCCGACTGATGCGGCGTGGGAAGCCCTTCACCTGTCAACGGATTGACAAAAGGGCTGTAAGTAATTAACAAAAATTACTTATGTTGGGCGAGGCGGGACTTTAGAATTTGCGCGAGTAAATGTTACGTGAAATCAGCAGGCAATCGGCCTTTGGGTGCGGCAAAAGGTGGCAGACCCAAGGGCTCCCCGATGGCTTTTTTGTCTTTCCCCCATAGCAAATTACCCGACGACTGATTGCATCGTACTCGATTTAATTCGTCGACCAACATCGCGATTCATAACTGGGTTACGTTGGGTCAAGCCGCGCGGGCGTAAGACGTCAATTGCAGCCATAGCCCCCCAGCCAGACAAGTGGCCAAGCGGGCACAACATGTGCCAGTTGGGTCATCTGGCCCCGCCAGGTTGGTGGAGGGTTACAGAGCCCAAGTCGACACCGCGCCAAGCCCTCCTTTAACGCAGCAGACGCGCCCCTGCAGAAGTGCCACTTTAAGTGGGGAAAAAAAAACGTGACGCAAAAACCCCCACAAATAGTTCAATGATCGATGAAGTTTTGGCGACGTGTGAGGTACTGCAACGCACAACACGGCGAGGTGGCGGGGTAAGTAACTAAGGGTACGCCGCCGCGTTACTGCATCATCCCGCGTGCTGTGTCATTGTGCCGCTCAGCTCAAGAAAGCAGTTCGTCAGCGATCCGCCGTAATACCATCTCGAGGGAGGCTCTCCAGAGATCCCTCTGGAGATTTTTTTTCTGCCGGTAGTGTCGTGAGCACGCATTCTGCATTGCTTCGCCTTTACCTTCTTTTAACCGAGAAACGAGGGCACACTTGCCGCGCGGCGACTACTTAGGCCTGCCGCAGGTGCCTCGCGATGGCTGCCGCTCAACGTTTTTTTGGGTCGTCCTTGTCCTCAGGTCGCTACCGTTCCGATGAGGAATCGTCACCCGCAACATTCACCTTGCTCAACGGGTCATTCCCTGAGAAGGCGGCGGTAATTAAGAGCAGTTCCGTGATTTCGGACGTACGATTCGGACGCTTTAAAGATGCGGGGCTATCATTAGTGTAATCACGTAGTGGCTTTTTTTTACACGGCCAAAGGGTGCGTCAACCAATTAGGCCTGAGACCAATTGCTTGACCCCCTTTTCCTGATGGGGGTAGAAATGGCCGTAAATATGGCATGGCGCAGGCCGGGCCCGGACCAACGGACTCTCTCACCCACGCCGAGATGCGCGACGCTGATGCATTCTGTTTCGTGTGTCTGCGCGTCAAATCAGTGACATTCAATAAATAAGCCGTACTTTCTAAAATCGGTCGACAATAAACCGTCAAAATTACCCCCGCGCGTGTTCCTCGGACGGCTTTGCCCGAGGTTGCTGGGGGTGGCGAGTATTCTTGGTAAGTGTATGCTCGCTTGCTGGGCAATGCCTTCCTCAAGCTGTGCATGGGGAGACTGCAAGCCAAGCATGTGCAGAGATTAAATAAAGATAGATGGCAACCCTAAAAAAATTATCAAATGGTTACAACTTCGTCGATAGACAGCCAGGCCTATTTTATCGTCTAGGCCAGCAAGTCGTTCTCAAAATTTCTACAAATAATTTGCGCGGACCACCGTGCACCAATGACATATTGTTCAACATAAACACAATTCTAAATCGGAATGTCTGCAACAGTTCAGCAGAGTGCATCCCACGGCCTTGCAGACCACCAGGGGTCCACGCACTACAGCTTGTATACCAACGTTGTTGATTGGTGGTACGACTCCAGTTTGAGGCTTTGCTACGGAAATCATTTTAAACACATGGTCACATGCCTCGAGTGCCACTGCAGCGTCCTCTACTGACATGGCTGAGTGATGCTTGCCGTATTTTTTAAGGCAATTTAATGACGCGCAGTGCATTGTGACAGCTGCCACTACAGCTACATCAGGATGCATTGTGGGAGATGGCACGACAGCTGTATCATGGTGCGTTGTGCATTTGTGGGAACCAGCCACATCAAGACGATGGTGGTCGGTGCACGGTAGGGAAAATAACCTCTGGTGATGACACGTGATCAGGGAGATGGTAGGCCGGGATTTAGAAAGTCAGTGGACGGATTATTTCTATTTTTATTTACAGGATTACAAACCGTCGCACTGCCCTGGATCGAAATCCCTTTCGCTAACCAAAAAATAATTAGTCGCCAACCCTCGTCGTTATTTTTGTTGTTTTTGTTTGCGTTGCCTCCTATACCCGACGCTCACCTCACCTCCCCACGGTCGCGCTCGACCGCGACAGGGCGCGCTTGCGGGGAGCCATCCGAACTCCGCAGGGTTCGGAAACGTTTCATCGCGACACCGGCGTGAAGGCGGAGCCGGCCAATGAGAGAGTGGTGTGGGCGGGGCTGGGGGAGCGGCCGGGGTCGGTGTCCGGGGAGAGAGCGGCCAATGAGAGCGGGGCGTGGGCGGGACTGGGGGCGGGGCTGGGGGTGTCCACGTGTGGGGACGTGGCCGGGGACGGGCGGCAATCGCTGCTGCTGCAGGGCGACAGGCTGGAGGAAGAACAGAGGCAAAGCGATGAGCGCGAGGGATGCGCGATCACCCTCCCTCACCTCGCGACACGATTCGGGACACACGGCGGTTCAAAATGCGCGGCGATTTGACGGTACGGCGTTTTAATGCGAGACGCACGTTACGAAAAAAACGCGCGATGCACACGAATTCACGACCGCACGTGATTCATGGCGCACAAAACACGACGCAATAACCGACTCACAACACGATACACGTCATAGGTGGCACTGACTAAGAGAGCCTTCCCCTGCAGTTAACAAAGGCTTACAAGGACCCGTGTGTGCGTGTGAGCGTGCAAGTGAACTCTGACCTCTGGTTGAGCATGCTCGATGTGAAGTTGAACTCCAAGTCGCCGGTACCAAGAAAAAGGCGCTTGGAGGTGTGATCCACTTCAAAGTCGGCTGTGGAACAATGCACAGGTGCGCGGAACAGCTCACAGGCGCGCGGAACGGACAGGTGCGCGAAACAACGCAGCATCCTCTATCATCCACAATCATGAGAGAAGAGCCCTTAGGCTACGGAGAGCCGATTAAGACTTTCCAGTTGCCGCCCTAAGCCGAGCATTTTTCCCCCAACAGACAGCCGGGCGGCGGTGGTGGTTGTGCTGCACGTGGCTGCAGGCTGTGATCCAGCGCTGTGTGGAGGCAGCAGCGGGGGTTGGTGAATCACCGCACAGATGTTGTTGTGGAACTCCCTGTGGGCATCGAGGGGGTGTCTCGCCAGAAGGCAGTACAGCACATGTGGACTAATCGCCATCCGCTTCCATTTGTAAGGGGATAGAGCGGGTTGCACCCTTGCGCGAGTCGTGGGGTTTTCTCCGGGTGCTCCCGATTTTCTCCCACACTTGTATAATAAACACAGCTCGTCGTTAATTGGCTGAAAACATCTTAAAATAAAAAAACCCAAAGCAGGATCCACATGAACACGAGTCATACGACTCAAGTGTGGCTTTCCTGGATATATAAAGCAAGTAATTTGAAAAAGTAAATAAATGGGAGCCAAGCAGTTAAACAACAAGCATGCTGCACACTGTCGCCGTCTCTCCGTATCTCACCGCACCTCTGCATTTCTCCGTTTGTGCGCACCCCTGGCACTTCTCCGTCTCCTAGTTTCTTGTTTTCTGTGTCCGAATGCCTTTGTCGACATCTTTCCTCTCTCTCCGTACCTCTATTCTCTATATTTGAATGCTCAACGCCCTCCCGCGTCCCTCCGTGTCCACCTCACTGTCCGTACGTCTCTCGCGGCGTCTCTTGTGTCGAATCGCTCTACGTCTCTCTACATGTGCTGCCTCCTTAACTCTGCGTCTCCTCGTCTTTCTCTCCGCGTCCTTCTGTTGACAGGAGGCACTGCGTCACACGCTTTTCAGATTCACTTCTGCGGCCGTCTGGAACGCTCTTCCTTCCGAAATTAAGGAAGCCGCCTGAGCAATGCACTTTTAAATCAAGATTGAAAACTCATTTCTTCAGAACTGCTTGTGTTTAGATTGTTGTCCTCCGAGTAGCACGGTTGACTACGTACGGATGCGAAAGAAGTTCAACATGCATACATACATGCATAGATGACAACAGCAATGCCAGGTGTGCAAGCACTCAATGGGGCTCACCTTTCCTCTTGAGCGATCCGAGGGTGCTGGGGCGAATGTGGCTGATGGGACTCGCACTTCGTTTTCTGTTAAGAAACGAATAAGGCGCACACGCGCGCGAGTGCAAGACCGCACGCACGCACTAGTAAGGAGTTTTATCGATTAGAGCGATAGAATGAGTTGACCCCCAAAACCAAGATGAAAACTCGCAACACGAACCCCTGAGTCATGGTAAACAAAGGCGTAGGTAGCAGAGGAATAAACTCGTTCTTTTGCATCGTGGGCTCGGGGTGGAACAGTTGTGCAGCGGCCAGTGCGCTGAGATATGAACCCGGCACACATCAGTTCGATTCCCGGCCATGGCTAACACCAGTGGCGAGTTATACCCGAACCTGTCCATGGCGCCTCCGTCCATTTTGACTAAACGTACTGACCAGCGTGGTGCAGTGTGGTCAAATAGAGCAAGACGATTAATTAACCGAAAAAAATATAATTGGACACTTTTTGTTATGGCACTATTACTCTGGTCCATTTAAATGACAGCCACCCTGACTTCCTGCATCCCGAAAGCGAAAAAACTCCCTAAGAACCAAGCACAAGGTGATGAGGCCGATGATCAGATGACATCACCAAGCCCCGTCCATCACCTCCCGTACAGCGTCACATGTGAGAGCAGAGGCGAGACCTTTTTTTCCCCCACTCTCTTTTCATGTTACGCGATTAGTCGAGCAATTAAACACACTAATTGGGCAGTCATCGATTATCTAAACTTCAGGTATCCCAGGTCTGCAAATAACTGGCCCTCGACCGACGAGTACAGAAAGGCCGTCATCCAGTAGCAGATTGATGGGGGCAAACAAAAAAAAGGGCTGGCTAATGAACGATGTACGTATGTAAGTTGAACTTCTTTCGCACCGTACGTAGCCAACCGTGCTAATCCGAGGCGCGATTAAATGAATCGGGGCCATGAAGGAGGGTGAGGCGAGGAGGAGGAGTGGCATTGGCTGCTTACGTGGTGAAGCGGCGAGGACTCGGGGCCCTGCTGGGGCTGACGGGCGCTTGCAGTGACGGGGAGTACAGTTGCTGGGGAACACAAAACAGCGGCAGCGGGCGCTTTGCTCAGACGACGCCCACGACCATCACAAATATTTCAAACACCCCAGTCAAAGCTCTCCCGACACCCACGCTCAACGTTGACGTCTAACGCTTTCACACTCGGCCACAACGAGTTGTCTATGCCGTTCGTCTGTCTGTAAAGAAGATTCAATGTGAATCAACGTGTAACGTGAACCTGCGTTGCTATTAGGGGAGTTACCCTGTTTAAAAATTGGCCGAATTGGTCAAAGAGTTGCCCAAATCGTAGACACAAAATCCAGAGAAAAAAGGAAAAAAAAATATTTGCCAAACATTTTGGCCGGAGAGATAACCCCGTTGGCTTCCATACTGCGAATGAAATACTTCCACGACCAAACGCAGGTTTAAAAAGTGTTACATCACCCTTGCGTGTATGCACGGTTTTTTACAAACTTGTTTTGATGTAATCTTAATTATAAAATCGATTCGCCGCTCAGCACTAACGTGATTTGGAATGCTTCGTTATAGTTTTCTGCAATTCATTTATGTACTTTGAGAAATTTATAAATCTATACTTTATTTATATGAATGTATAACTTGCTTAACTTTTCTCTATCTTGCTCTGATACCGTTTTTTTGTTGTATTTTTGTTGTTGATGTAACTTGCTCACCCGTCCCTACTCGACACCTGTGATTAGCACGGTTGGCTACATACGGTGCGAAAGAAGTTCAACATACATACATATGTATGTCTGTGAAAAAGAGCAGAGTCTTCCAGTCTAAATAAAGATTCTGATTTGCAGGCCCCACAGTGTTTAGGTACGACTCTAGCCACGAACACTCGGTTTACCAGGGAGGCGTTCGGTTAGCAATGAACGTGAACATGGTCGAATGGCTCAGAGGAGCCAAACTGGCTGTGTGAATCTGGTACCACGGAGTTTCTGGGTTTGAATCCGGGTTTTGGTGGCTCGTGATCAAACCAGGTTGTCAGGAGTTTTGAGTCGAAAGTCTCAGCCCAGTCACCAATGACCGCACAATAAACCGTGACACTTGATGTGAGACCTACGCTTCATTTTACAAAGCAATATTTTCTCCCAATTGGTGTAGATTTGAATTCATCACCCACGGCCTCACCTTGCCGATGCCACGGGTGGGCGACGGAGATGGCGATAGCGGGAAAAAGTCCGACCTGCGCTGAGTGATGGTTTTTTCCAGCTCGGGCAACGCTTCACTCTGAGCGGCACAACACACAGGGCAATACGCTCAGCCACTCCCGAGCGATACCAAGTGACGCTGTGTTCTCCTCACTATTGAGACGCTCCAGAAAGTTAAGTTTTGCTTGAAATGTGGGGGGGAAAAGTTTTGCCTTCTAAAACAAAGAATATAACCTCTGCGCGGTGGCTATATTACGGTGGCCTTGAATAGGACAACCACCGTTCACTTCACAGCCGGCCGCAAGTAGTATCCCCTCATACGCGTGGCGGGTTTTCTCCGGATAATCCCGTTTCCTCCCACATGCCAAACAACCGTTAATGAAATTAGCCAAACTTCCCAATGAAAGACCTTCCTCAAAATAAGTCTTCAGACTTGGCGAGGGCTTGAACTGCCATCTTCTGCTGACCTCACAGCATTCACAGGCAGTCTCCCATCCAGGTACGAACCAAGTTCCAACCTGCTTAGCTTTTCCGAGATCTCGCGCGGGTTTGTGGCAATCGGGGTGAAAATTGGTCACGGGCAAATTCGTATTTTATGTTTCCGTTTGCTTTTGTTCCGCACCAGGGAGAGATCTTCGCACGACTGGCTGATGTGCAGGGCGGCCCTGGTCTCCCTCTCGTGTGCTGTTTCACGATTTATCAAGTCTGCTCCCTCCTCCTGTTTACGTGCACACACGCGCACACACGTGCGCGCACACGCACGCACGCACGCAAAACAAATCACCGTCAGAGTGTCTCACTCGCTGCTCGAGTATCAGCGGTGCCACTCATCTGCTCCCAGCTGGTGGTAGAAATATCCGCACCTGTTTAATCTGGTTGACACGACTGCTCATTACTCTGCCAGGTGACGGTGGTGTTGCCTGCAAAAGCAAACGATACACAAACAAAGTGTAAGTAAACAACATCGGAGGAAAAACAGAACAGACGGAGGGGTTGGTATCGGATTTAGTTATTTCGTAGACTATGAACCCAGCAATCGTAGTTTGATTTCCTGGCATAACGAGTGTACGTGGCAAGTGATATCTGTACGATCAAACAACCCTCATGAACGACAAGGTAATTTTTTTCTTTAGGCCCAAGATTGGATTTTAGTTCATATTTTTTTATTAAAATGTCAGAAATGTTTACGACGTTCATTTTTGATGCACAGGTGTGAAGAAGGGGGGGGGGGGGGGAGGGCTCTCTGCCTGTGACGATGGAGACAGTCTAGACACAAGTCTTCACTCGGGGTCTCACCGTTCCCTGTCGGCTCAGGAAGCCGCCGCTGTTTCTCCGACTCTTTCCGTCGCTCGCGAGAGACAGTGGGCTCCCTTCTCTGCTGCGGAGAGGAGACGCGAGCATGAGCAAGTAACAAAAAACTGCCGTTCACCACTAAGTGGCGGGGACATCACCACAGCGCGCGGGCCACGCTTGGTGCACTTTGAGGCCACCGTGCACACGGAGGTCACGTGAAGTGTCGAAGGCCCGCTGGCAAGAGGTCACGGAACAGACCCCGGTGCCTTGGGTTGACCGAGGATGACTGGCAGATGAGCACACACACACACAAGCACGCCCGTGCTCACACACTGAAGCAAGCAGAATCATCACCATCGCTTGCATTTTTTTTCATTGAAACTATAATTGAACAGCCCTTAAGTTAATCTTCTGTTGGACGAGGGCCTCCCAATGCCACGGTGGGCCATGGGGTTGAAGAAGTGGAAGTGGGGGGGGGTGCCCTGGCCAAGACCGGAGGTCACTCACCTCTTACGTTGGCCGTGGCAATGAGGGGGTGTGCAACTAACGTGATCAGATGCACGGCGGTGTGGCTGGCCTAACCACTGCATAACCGCTCCCACGCGTGTTTACTCCGAATTGGACACGTGTTTTTGTTGCTGTTGTTGTATGCGTTACGTGTACCCGCACGTGAGATCAACAAGTCCAAGTTGCCTCGCCTACTCGAGCGACGCAGCATTAAAGCAATTCCGTCTTCACTTTCGTGATTTTAACCGGCCTCGTCAATTCCACATTCGTGCGACGGGGAGGGGGGCGGTCACTTCCACCCACGTCGTCAAACTTTAACATCCCGGTTCTTGCTGGTTCTCGTCCTGGGCGCGCTCTTGTAAACTCCACGTTAGCGTACCGGGACCAAGTACATCTACAAAACGTGTCACGTCACATCGATTAGGTATCGATACCGTTATGGCCTCATCACCGCGCTGTTGGTAAACTCCACGTTAGCATGTCGGGAGCAAGTACATCTCAAATCCCGGAGGATGTTTACCCGATGTTGTTGATCATGGGCGCGCTGTTGTATCGCCTCAATGCCGCCCCGTCCCCGAGGTCGGGATCCCCGGCGTCGCCTGGAGACTCCACCGCCTCCACTTCCATCTCCCCTGGCCGGGACATTCAAGCCGAGCCCGGCCGCACTCCCCTGCACTAGGCCCCAACACGGGCCTCAAGCCACATTTGCAAATTCAGTGTGGAAAAAAAATGTTATTGAAAAAGGTTTTTTATTATTATTTAAATAATCTGCGAATTGTGTAAACAATGTTAAATTATCGCCGCGGCTGTGCGCAGTCAATCGCTGGGGTGGCCACGGTAACTGGAGGATGCCATTTGAATGGAGCCACACGGCGCCGTTGTGCCGATGTGTGAATTAAAAAACGCGGGGTCGGTTCCGCGACGTTTGTCCAAACGCCAACCCGTAATTCGCGCGGTTGAATTATTTTTATTTTGTCCAACAGTTGGTGGTGGGGGGGGGGTAGTGAAAGTCTTATTCACATTCGTTTACCAATACATACGTGACTATGAACTAAACATCGACGCGCATTCTAATTCACATTTACAATGAAAAAATACAGGATAAAACAGATCGCATTTGCTTATGATTAATTGAATAACGAGTGTACATGATACATCTCCGATACTTACCCCCCCTCCCGGAACGGTGTAAGTCCATTTGGACGAGTCCAAACTTTCCCGCGTAAATCCCGGATCCCGCCCACGTGTTTATTACGACTCGGCGCGCCGTGGGTGGCTGCCCCAAGACTCCGATTCGACTTCGAGACACCCCCGGCGACAACGCACTCGAGGCGTTTTGAAACGTTGTAAAAACGTTGCGCACGGACGTTGCTTCCTCGGGCCTTCGGGGGCGAGCAAGTCCCCTGCGTTCGGCGTTCGCCGCGCGTTTGGACGCTATGTCGAGAATTGGCGTCGCGCAGGAGAGGCAGTGGGTCATGGTTTTACCCGGTAACCGTTTAATTTGTTGTTGTTTTGGTTTACGGAAAGTGCATTCGCTCCACTTGATTCGCCGTCTCGTTGTGCTGCGATGAAGGGCCATTGCCCGAAACGTCGCCTATTATAGTTTCTCGTTAATGCCACACACGTGTTCAATAGGCGACACAATTAGCTTTTTGAACAGTCGCCTATTACATATTTTCCCTTTATTGAGGTGCTTTATAATCTCATTGATTTCTTTGTGCGCACATGGCCTTTAAAAGTCCAACTGTCAGTAAGAAAGTCATTGCGAGTGCATTGAATTACGTCCACGGTGGCTTTAATTCACCCGTCGATTCGGCTCATGAAGAATTGAGCTCTGCATATCGTCCGCTTCCTGATTTTGGGTTTACAGTCCTTTTCAGCACACCGGTGTGCCAAAATAGTAACTAATTGGCACGTTTTGTTTACGTGACAAACCTTACTTATTGGCTGTGTCGGGTAGTGATGGTGATTGGTTAACGACATGTATATTTACGCGATTTAACCCGACAAAAACACAACTTTCATAAGGAATAAATAGTTGGTCCAGAAAGCCTACGTGTTAAAGTGCATCGATGACCCGATTCGTGCATTCAAAAGGAGACTTCATTTTGTGACTTTGTAGGCGACAATGATCTTTTACCTACGCCTTTCCTGCCACTGCTCGACTTTGTTTAATTTCTCTGCCTGTTGCACCGCATTCCCGACGTCCCGATCACGCTCAATGCAAGCCACGCGTTCTCTTCGCTCTCGTCTGCCGTCCTGCGTTCACGGGCCCCCTTTGAATCTGCGCGATTTTAAAAGGCACGAGATTTACTACACGTAGGCTTTCGCGACCAAAGTAGGGTTAATAAAAAAAACCTGTAATCCAAAAACCTGTATTATAGGCAGGAATTTCATTTGTGTTTAGTTAGTTATCGATAGTCCCGTACCTTGGAAGGTCGCACGCATTATTTCAATGCGGTATTTAAAGAATCGCATGGAAACGATGTTGAAGGCGCAGGCCCTGCAATTTCTCGCTCGCGCAGCAGCTGGCGGAAGCCTCCTCCCACTAGAGGGGGCTCTCCCGAGGTTACATTTCCCACCTCTTCCACGGCTGACCAGACGTCTTGGAAGAGGTGGGAATACCCACACTTTACCCCCACCGCATCCGATCTGTTTGAAACATTGCCCGCCAATTATTTTTCTTTGAAATGGAATGTAACTTGCTGGCCTGCCCCTACTTCGCCATCTGCTAGATTGCCCCATGGGATTCCTCCGCCAATCTAAATGACGATTCTGATTCTGTAGTCGAACCTGCGCTCTAAAGTCCAGTGTGCTAACCATTGCACAACGGCACAACATGATGTAAGCAATGCAAGGATATTATTCCCAGCAAGCATTCGGGGTACTTTAAAAAAAATGTTAACACTTACATGGGACTATCGTTTTTAATGGAAAAAGAATGCATACATTGTAACATGATAACAAATGTATGTTAATAGCTTCAAAAAGTATCCACTGAAAGCCTGGAATCTTCTCCACGTGGTCTCCAGAGCCCGGAGGCAGCACCTTTCTCATGGTATTGTTGCAAATTCTCGGAAGTGTGAACATTTTTTTGAAGCACTCCGTGTATATTATCAGACGAAGATACTCAGCCGAGCACTGGTTCTCGTCAGACCACCCCCTCGCGTGCCGTGTGCCGGCCTTTATAGGTGCTCGCGAACGGCACTTGCCCCAACAGTCTGTTCAGGCTATACGGGGATCTTTGTCTTATATATGGCTGTGTTTTACTCTAGAATGGTTCCTAAAGGAAGCGGAGAGTTCCGACTGCGACCCACATTTCATCAAACTCCGGCATCCGAAAACAGGTTCGAATTCTGCAATGGCGTCAACAAGTGCATTGCAATTGCTCTTGATAGTTATCCGTATCCGTTTACACATTAATACGATAGTCAACATGCATCTGTGTAATTGTATAACTTAGTTGTAATTGCACTTTGGTGAGTCTGAATATAATCTACCCGTGCCGACCTTTAACGACTGGAAATGTATTATCACTCAACATTTATTTCTATTTGCCATGTGACACAGTAGTTTTTTTTTCCTTCCAAATTCCTACTTGCTTCATTGCTGTACTTCCATTTTATTTGTTTTCTTTTTTGTCAGTTTTGTTGACCCACATTTGCCATTGCAAATGAGACTCCTCCTGTGGTCTTTTATATATATTACTTATTGGATACACAATAAGTAATATATATATAAAAAAACTTTTTTTTAAACACGCTTTAATGGAATGTACCGTACGAGTAATGTCAGAACTCCACGACTCCAGGAAGTGGCCACGAGGCTTGCCATAACGCAAGGGGACCGTGGTGATTTACAGCCAACGTCAGTTGAGCGTGGACAATTAGACCCATGCCGAAACATAACTTATACAAAATAATGCTTAAAAATATATTTTTTATTTTTAATGATAGAATATAGTATTGCCATCAATATGACATAAGTATACCAAGTTTGCAGTCGATACCACATTGGGAAGTAGGTAAAAATGTAGTTACAAAATTTGAGGATACAACAATAACAGCGTGTAAAAATACACTTGACTTGACAGTTAGATTATGAGCTGGCTACTGTCTATGCAGGCAGTTCATCATGTCAAAGAGGTTCCACGTCAGAGGTACCAAGCTCGCATCGCTAATAACCCCCCCCCATTTGGGTTTGAATCAAGGAATTGGCCGTTGCGGGAATAAACCGAATTCTCAAATCTAGTGAGCTGGTGGTCTAAGCCTTGGTTACGAATCACTGCACACACACAAAATCCATGCTGTGTTAAATTTAGTGTGTTACATAATTCAGATTATTCCAGCTTTGAGAATTAATAACGTAGGATTTGTATAACACTGGCTTCCAGTGGTTTAACAATGCAGTTATTAATTACATGATATATATGTTTTACGTAGTTCAGTAATACTCGGCGCCGTGTCAATAGTCCAAGAATCCACAATCGGAAGTCTCGCGTGTGCCCTGTGTAAGAGAACAGCTGACCGAAGAGATTTTTTTTAACAGGATCATTGCAAGTGAAGTTTGTAGACAGTAGGGGGTGCACTTTCCCCACACACACTACCTTGAGAGATTGTTGCATGGAAGTGAAACTGATCATTTGAGAGCTTCGATGTCGCCAAATACAATACAATTTACATTTTTATAGCACGTAAAGGCGACCGGGCACTTCATAGAAAGCATAAAAGTATTCAACAAAAATGAAAGCATTAATCTGCATGCGCATGAAAACAAGTCCTGACTTGAACCGGTGCGGGTTCTGAACTGCGTGGAGTTTAAGTGGAAGAGAACTCGAGGGACCTTGGGATCAAAAGCCGAGAATGAGCGACCTACCGTGCAGTGCAAACCTAAATTTAATACGATCGGTTACAATCGCACCTCCGATTAGCACGGTTGGCTACGTACGCTGCGAAAGAAGTTCAACATAAATAAATACATGCAATCACGCGTGCAGTCGTTTCTGACCGAGTCTGACTCCTTCAACTTAGAGCACTTGGGGAACCCTTTCCCCCCCCCCTGCGCCAAACTGCAAGTCCACCGGCACGTACACCACCTCTTTCCTAAAATCCGCCAATCAAATGCTAATTTTTATGCTAATTTCTTTGTCGGAACACCTTGTTTGCTCGCACACAGGTCCGATGTCTGAGCGTGGTTGTGTTTCGCTAAATTCTCCTGTTTGATGAGTACTAGGTGCCTCGGTGAATGTATATGCTCTAACTTTAACACAGCTATTTCTGTGACCAGTTACAAGCTAATCACTCAGCTATTTCAATGCTAAATTCGATGCTAATTCCTTTGTCAAGGGATACCTCTGCGGATGTGTATACTTTAACTTGGCTATTTCAATGAGCCATTTCAATGCTAAATTATATGCTAATTCCTTTGTCAAGGCGCTTGGTCTTTTTCTTCTCACACAGCTTAAAGGTCGTGATCTAAGCGTGGCTTCTTCCACTACAGCGCTGTCCTCCAGACAGTCTCGTCCCTTCACCTGATGAAGGCCGCTTGTGTTGTGGCTGAAACGTCGTGATTTTTTGTTTTATTTTCACCTACGTGACTTTACCCAATAGAACCAAAGAGTATGGATCCTAGCAGTCACGAAAGCTTTAAATCTAGAACCGGTTTAATCACTGGTGGCTGAACCCGGATTCGAACCCAGCTTCTCAGCAGTGCCGGGCTCAGTGACCTCTGACCTCTGATAACACCGGGTCAGCACAATTAATCGCGATTCGTAATCTCTCGACACACGCGTCGAATCCTGCGCGTGAACAGTCGACGTTTCTCGGTCGGTGTGTGTTGAATTTAATGGCATCGTCTGAACCCTTGCAGCCACTAGTGGCCGCTACATTCACCGCAGTGTTTAACAAGGAAGAAAAATGAAAGTGCACGTTTTCTGCAACACTCTTCCAACGGTGCCTCTGACCTCGGATTTTTTGTTTACTCATTAATTCATGCGAACTACAGCACTTGAGCAAGTGGCTAGGTTAATAATTCATGCATCCTTCACGGGGATATTCCGTCACGTATTCTTGACACAACTGAAACAACATAGCAGAGGAATGTGCGCCGAGAGCGATTATTGAAGACAGACTGGGATACCAAAAAAAAGAAAAGAGATTACATTTAAAGATGAACGAGAGCAGGTTGGGGAGCGCTTTTGTAAAGTTGTTATCGTCGATGAAAAGTTCCTGAAAAATAACGTGTTTAATCAATCAAAGTCGACTACCTGCCTAGCAGGCCGTGAGGGATACTTTGACCAAATTTTATACATTCTACGGGAGCGAAGAAATACCAACGCACGTTGCCGAATGTGATGATTTTTTTTTATTTCTTAAAATAGTTTGTCTCGCTTGCAAGGTTGGCCAGTGTGTCGATACTACAGGAGTGCGACCATACTATGGACAGAATCGAACACCCACACACACACTTAGAGACCCATAGAGACAAAGACACAGTAAAGACAAGTCACAGTAGTACGACTACGGCCAGGCAACTCAAACTATGGACCAGAAAGCAAACCACTGTTGTCTGCGCTCATCCAACGGAGGAGGAACAGCAAAACTACACCAACTCTCTCTCCTGAAGCCCTCTTGTGGCTCGCAGGAGACCTCGACATTGGCATTTAGCTCGTGAACACATTGCTGCCATCATGTGCAAGAATGGGGTGCCATGGTGGCGAGATGTTAACTACCTCGCCTGGTAAACAGGAGGTCGTGGGTTCGATCTCGACCCTAGCGCCTGTATATTTGGTGTTTGCGTGTTCGCCCTGTGGTCGCGTGGATTTTTCTTTGGGTCCTCCGGTTTTTCCCTCCACATTTAGAAACATGCCTTTAGAGTATTTGGCTGCAATACATTTCCACATGATAAGCCACTTCCTTGAGCTATCATTTATCGCCAGGTCACTTCTGAAAAATAGCTGTATAGCGAAGTGGGCCTTACCTGATGAAATGAAAACATAGTTTAAATAGAATCGCCACGTATACTGGTCGGCGTGGGTTGAAACAACAGTGGGTTTTGTTTCACTGCCCTCTGCTGCCCACAACGTCTCCATTGCCTTCTGTAGATGGTGGTCACACATCCAAGCACTCATCGCATGCTCCAAACCCTGCTCATTTTGCGAGATCTGACGAGACTCGGAGCGTTTCGGTCTTACCCGCTCGCATCACAAGTGGAGGGAAAATTACTCGCGCTTTCAGGTGCGCTTCTGCGGCTGTCTGGAACGCTCTTGCTTCCGTTATTAGGAAGCCACTGGAGCAATGCACTTTTAAATAACCTAGATTGAAAACTCATTTCTTAAGAACTGATTTTTTTTTTAATTGTCTATCCCCCGCACCTCTGATTGCGGTGTGAAAGAAGTTCAACGTACATACTCGAACACCTTATCAGGAACGCTGCTCCCGAAGCTATGTTGCTTGTTGTTGCTAACACAAACTGACGTGCACACACAACGCCCACTCTCTCCCCCCCCGCCCCGACCCCTAGGTGAAGGAACGACCTTCCTCGTGGGTGCCGATGGTATGCACGGGGGCAAGGACAAGGGCAGGGCTTTGCTGGAGATGAGGGCATTGGTTGAAAAAGAACCCAGGTCTTGGCTGATTGGACAGAGTGTGCAAGAAGGTACAGAGACAAAGATCCCCCGTATAGACTTCAACAGAGCAGAACGTGATGCTGGGTCGAGCCACAACAGCGCGCCACTCAACAGTCCGTCTGTCCGTCTCTCTCTCCTGGATTGAGATAATTTGGCCACTGATGTTGGCCGTGAGCGGAACATTGAACCACTGCGCCACCAACACCACCACGCCCACTTACAAAAACAAAGGTCCCCCGTATAGCCTTTGGAGCAAGTGCTGTTTAGCGAGAAACACCTATGAAGGCTGAGACGCCACTCGACGGGGTGGGTGGCCAGCATCGCGCCCATCTTTAGTTCTGCTATGTGTGCTTCTGGGGACTTCTCTTCGCAGAGCTAGCAGTGAGCACTGTTGATGGATCGAGAAGGGGTCGACAAAATTCTTGTCATAATGTCACTTTTTATTTATTCAGGAGAGCATCACAGAGTCTCGGAGCTCATTTGGGGAAACTTCTGAAGTCAGATGATCGGATCAGACCATGAGAACGGATCTTGAGAGACGCAATGAGTGGAACGATGAGAAGACCTAAAGCCAGATGGTGGTGGCCATGATGATGATGTAACTAACTGTCGGCCATACAGGACATGTCCACTACGTTACAAATTGAAGAAGAGCCAAGGTGTGGTGGTGATGGTGGGAATGGTGAGATTGATGTGACTAGTAGGATTGGTGGGACTGGTGGAATTGGTGGGACTGGTGGTGATGGTGGGATTAGTGGGACTGGTGGTGATGGTGGAATTGGTGGGACTGGTGGTGATGGTGGGATTAGTGGGACTGGTGGTGATGGTGGAATTGGTGGGACTGGTGGTGATGGTGGGATTAGTGGGACTGGTGGTGATTGTGGAATTGGTGGGACTGGTGGTGATGGTGGGATTAGTGGGACTGGTGGTGATGGTGGAATTGGTGGGACTGGTGGTGATGGTGGGATTAGTGGGACTGGTGGTGATGGTGGAATTGGTGGGACTGGTGGTGATGGTGGGATTAGTGGGACTGGTGGTGATGGTGGAATTGGTGGGACTGGTGGTGATGGTGGGATTAGTGGGACTGGTGGTGATTGTGGAATTGGTGGGACTGGTGGTGATGGTGGGATTAGTGGGACTGGTGGTGATGGTGGGATTGGTGGGACTGGTGGTGATCGTGGAATTGGTGGGACTGATGTGATTGATGAGATTGGTGGGATTGGTGGGACTGCAGGAGTAGTTAACAGAGCGTTGGTTGTTGACGGGACCAACAGCTGCAGGCAAGATCTAGCAAGGGGAAGGGAGCGATGGCACCGCGTGCTGGCTCCGACAGTGTTGGCCACAGTGACCTCTAGATGTCGATTGTAGTCGCTGACCCCTCACCGTTTCCCACATTTTACCCCACCCACCACCCCACCCTCGTGATGGTGCAGATGGAAAGCTGGTGCTGTGCACCCGCGTCGATCCGCTCTTTCTCACGCTCCCGTACCTCCAACGGGCGCACGCCAAGGTACGACGCGCGGTGTAAAGACAAGGATCCACCATATAGAGCTACAGGCTGCTGGGGCAAGTGCTGGTAATGAGCACCTATGAAGGGCATCACGATGCACGAATGGGGTGGGCGGCACCACGTCCGGTAAACAGTCACAGACAGACGTGCAAAAGCACCTTAGACAAAAAACAAAGATCACCCGTATAGCCTTAACATACTGTTGGGGCAAGTGCTGTTAGCGAGTAGCACCTATGAAGGCCGGAACGGTACACCAGGGGGTGGCCGGCCAGCACCACGCACTACCGCCTTTATCTTCCCAGTGGCGATGTTTTTACACACAGCACCAGGTACCCATTTGAGGCCGAGTCGACCTAGGGGAGGCGCAGGACCCGTTCAGATAATAGTCACTGGCGTTGGCCGTGAACGGGAATCGAGCTCGTGTCGCCGGGTTCGTAGGGCAGCGCGCTAACCACCTACGCTACCGCTCACTACAGAGAGACGCACAGAAAGAGACAGACACCCACAGTGCTGAAGCCATATTTTCAACGGCAGTGCGGACTCGAGGCCTCCCCCCGGCCCTGCGGTTGCATTTGCCGCTTCCATTCCCCCCCCCCCTCCGGAGCCAGCCGCTCTCCTCCGCCACTGAGTCCCTACGAAGGCACTCAATTTCATTAGCGCGCTGCCACCGGCACAAAAGGCAGTGCGCCTGGCCGCTTCTCTTATTTATTTTATTTTACGAGCGCAAGTTTAAACAAAGCGGCGGTCGCTGGCGGAGATTCATTGCGCCGCAAGCCAGCCACAGCCGCTGACGCATTCCGCTATGGATTGCCGTGTAATTTCCGGCGCGGTGTCGCACGACTGCTGCCGCTGCCGTCGTATATTTAATTGATCGTTGTCAACAGGAGTTGCGGCGGCGATTTTTCGTTTTCTCGTTTTGTACGTGGGTCAGGATGTGTGCCGTATCGTGGATGTATCCCGTGGTGTATCGTGGTTGTGTGTCAGTGTGTTCGTGCGTGTGTGCTTGTAGCGGTAGTGTAGTGGTTAGCGCGCTGCCCTGCGAACCCGGCGACCCAAGCTCGATTCCCGCTCATGGCCAACACCGGTCACGATTATCTTAACTGGTCCTGGGCCTTCCCTAGGTCGACTCATCCTCAACTGAGTGCTTGGTACGGTGTGTAGTAAACATCGGCACCAGGGAGACAAAGGCGGCCGGACATGGTGATGGCCACTCACCCCCTCGTGTGCCGTGCCTGCCTACATAGGTGCTACTCACTAACAGCCCTTGCCTCAACAGTCTGTTAAGGCTATCTGGGGGGTCTTTGTGTGTGTAGGTGTGTCTGTGTGTATTATATTTGTGTGTAGAGTGGTGATGCAGGCGGTTCGTGCACTGTGCTACGAACATGGCAACTTGAGTTTGATTCCTGACCATGGCTAACAGTGACGAGTGTCTGATCTTGGGCAGATTGGGATCATTGAATATCAACTACCCTTACGAGGAAAGTGTTCAATCGGTGCATATCGCTTGTCGTGGCGTGTGGATGAGAAACACGGACGCTGACGCAGGAAATAGAACAGGAGCTGAAAACGTGCTAAGAGCTTGGAGAGATGCTTGGAATTACACTGGGACTCTGCGAGAGGGCCATGTGGAATGGAGAATGTACTAAAACTATAAACTAACCTTTTTATTGTACCAAGTAAGGCCCACTGAGCTATATAGCTCTTTTTCAGAAGCGACCTGACCACAAATGATCACTCAACGAAGTGGCTCATCATCATGTGGAAATTCAAAGCTGCCAAATACATAAAACGCATGTTTCTAAATGTGGGAGGGTTTAAACCGAAGGACCCGGAGAAAAATCCATGCGACCACGAGGATGAACGTGCAAACTCCAAATTTACGTGCGTCAGGGTCGGGATCGAACCTACGACGTTCTGCATACCAGGCGAGGGAGTTAACATCTCGTCACCGTGAATATCGGGGACAACGATCGGAGGCAACATCTTATTAAGAAACGGTAAACGGCCTTGGGCAGGACGCTTCCCCCGAGGGAATGGTGGCGGTTCATTGAGACTGATCGAGAGAACGCACTGAAGAAGGCGAAAAAGAAGAGCACCATGGAGATGGAGCAATTAAATCGGTGTTCAGGATGCGAAATGGATTTTTGGTATTGCAGGGAGGCCTTCATCTAGCAGCGGATGGAGCTCAACCGATGGCAGTGATGGAGCTACAATTTTGCTGCTCGTGTCGATGTGTTTGTATTTCATTTCAGAACAAACCATACTTCTCCAAATATAATTCTGCAGTGTCTGCAAAAACAGCAACAAAGACAATTGCATTGCAGTCAGAGGCCGCAATCACCGCCCCCCCCCCCGTCCCCCACCCACCTTCTTGTGCTAACCGCCCGTCAACGTTGAGTAATGTATTCTCTCTCCGCGCCATTTGACGTGCGTCAGTGACGCCACCCAGCAAGCGCGCTTGTCATCCCAGCTGTGTTTGAACCTTGGGTGATTCATGTCCGTAATTGCCCTTTTATTCCTTTTCCATTTAATCACCATTGCCCTGACAGCCAGGATTTTGCCCCGTGTCCTCCGATGAGTGTTTGTCCTTCTCATGGCCGCCCGTGCGATAACGAGGTCAGTTTTTAAAAAGGACCCTGTCCGCTAAAATGTTGTGTCCGAATCCAGGATTCGGCCACCTTTGGTTAAAACTGAGTTCTCTCTCAAGTGTAGTGAGTTGATGGTCTCGGCCTGGTCACCAATGATTGCACGTATACTTGCCTACATTTTCACACCTGAGAATTGAAAATAGCAATTTGACTGTCATGTGACGAATATTGCTCTGCGACAGGGGTGGGTGGGAAAGTGCTCCTGCCCCTCATTATGTGCGTCAAGAGGTCACGTAACGTGACCTCAGAGGTAGCTCCATGATATCCACTTCCGCAGGCTGTTGTCTAACACAAAGTTTTGCACTGTTCCTGCTAGGGATCTGAATGTATCATTTGTCTTATGATGCAATGGCTATAGCACAATCGGAATGAAACTGGGGGGAAATGCTCAATAATTGCTGTCATGGAAGATTAAATTATAAAATAAAAATTACCTTGACCCAGTGAAGGTGCACCCTTCCTGGTACAAACACTCGGCCGCTTGGGGTAAGGAGTCTGGATGGTGAGAGGTTCTGTCGAGGAGACAGCTTGAGGCGAGTTGGGCAGGCTGTGCCTGAGGTAGCGCTCCAGATAATCTGTGTATTGGCCATTTTACGAATTTAAAGAAACCTGAATTATGTTTGACTTTTTGGAAAATTATGCCCAATAATACGCTTGCCAATTTTGCTGCACAACTTGAGTTCGCATGACGGGAAAAAAACGACGCATACGTGGGGTGATGGAGCAGTCACATGATCTTCGCAGTCCGATCATGTGTACCGCTAGACAACAGGATGTACGTGCCCAGTAAACGTGAAATATTGGCCCAACGTTGCACCAACGTTTGGCTGATATTCCAACCAAACGCCAATTTCGACCCAACGTTCATGTTTACTGGGTGTAGTGCAGTGTCCGTGTCATTTTGGATAAAAACATTTTTGAAAGATCCTCATCGAGAAACGTTTTTTTTTAGGTTTTTCGATTGATTTTAATTGTGAGGATACCTTTTTTGTACCGTGGTTGAAAGTGGCTTTGCGGTTGAAATGCAAGGACGCGAGTTAATGCGTACAACCTTGAGCAATGGAGACTTTCAACTCAAAATAATAATTTTCTTCAGCGAGAATATAAAAATACAAACGAAAACATCTGACGATATTTAAGGGAATGCTGCATTTTACATCATGAAAATACATTTAACTCAAATATCGTTAACATTAGAGGGTAAATTACTTAGACCCGAAATCTTATGTGCAGCGCATCCCATCGTTATGCTTTCTGTGTGCGTCTGCTTATGACGCATGAGGAGCATCAGTCAGTCACTGCGGTCTGTTAACGCACGACACAAGGGTCGGTCACGTGACCTCTTGCCACCAATCGTTCTCCGCTTCAGATACCTCAAAGTGCACCTAGCTTGGCGTAGGCATTGCGGTAATGTCATTGCCAATTAGTGGAGGATGTTCCTGCGTCTAAATATTTTATGTTTGCGTCTGTGTGTCCTGTGTCACTGTGTGTGCAATGGGGAGCGGTAGTGTAGCGGTTAGCGCGCTGCGTTACGCACCCAGTGACCCGAGTTCGATTCCCACTGACGGCCATCATCAGAGGCGATTTATTTGAACCGGTCCCCGGCCTCCCCTAGGTGGACTCAGCCTGAAATGATTACTTAGCGCGGTGTCTAACATTGCCACTTGGGAAACAAAGGTGGTCGGGCATGGTGCTGGCCACCCACCCCCTCATGTACCGTGCCAGCCTTCATAGGTGCTCGCTTACAGCACTTACCCCAACAGTCTATTCAGGCTATATGGGGGATACTTGTATTTTTTTCTTTGTACATGCGTGAGAGTGTTTGCCTGTGTGTGTGCATACGGGCGAGTGTTTGTGTGAGCGCGTGTGTACAAGAGTGGGGAGCGGTGGTGTAGCGGTCAGCGCGCTGTGCTACAAACTCGGCGACCCGGGTTCGATTCCCGCTCTCACGGCCAACAGTGACGATTATCTGTACCGGTCCTGGGCCTCCCCTAGGTCGACTCAGCCTCAAATGAGTACCTGGTGCGATGTGTAAACATCGTCACTAGGGAGACAAAGGCGGCCGGGCGTGGTGTTGACCACTCACCCCCTCGTGTGCCGTGCCGGCCTTTATAGGTGCTCGCTAACAGCACTTGCCCCTACAGTCTGTTATGCCTATACGGGGGATCTTTGTTTTGTACAAGAGTGTGTGTGTGTGTGTTTTTGTGCGTTCGTTTGCGGTTGTTTCTGTGTGTGTGTGTGTTTGTTGGTTCCTTGGTTTCAACTCCAGACAGTGGACAACGTCATGAGTGGCAGGTTGGATATCTGAACCTGCTCAGGGCCTCCCCTAGGTCGACTCAACCTTAAATCAGTGCCTGGCGCGGTGTGTTCACACCAGCTCTGGGGATACAAACGTGACGAGGCGTGGTGCTGGCCACATCACCCCTTCGTGTGCTGTGACAGCCTGAATAGGGGCTTGCGAACGGCACCTGCCCTGTGTGTTCACGCATGTAAGTATACGTTCATGTGTGTGTGTGTGTGGAGCGGTAGTGGAGCGGTTAACGCGCTGCTCTACGGACCTGGCGACCCGAGTTCGATTGCCGCTCACGGCCAACACCCAGTGACGATTATCTGAACCGGTCCCGGACCTCCCTTACGTCGACTCGGCCTCAAATTAGTACTTGGTGCTGGGGAGAGTGAAGGCGACTTGGTGCGGTGTTGGCCACCCCACCCCCTTGTGTACTGTGCCGGGCTTAACGGGCTCGCTTATAGCACTTGCCCCTACAGCCTGTTAAGGCTATTCGGGGGATCTTTGTGTGCACGTGTAAGTGTACGCTGATGTGCGTGCGTGTCGCTCATTTGAGCGTCTTACTCATTGTCTCCTGAGGATGCGGTTTTTAATTCGAAATAGGAAATGCAAAATTGTAATCCATGCTGTGTTTAAAATTCCATTTTAAATGCCATATGCGCGTTCCCCTCGCGCCTGTCGTGCACCATTTTATTGTGGACTGCCGACTGGATTTCCATTGCGCATCCCTTTGCGTGTTGATTCGCCATGTTTATAAACAATGTCCCCGCTCTTGACCGATTAAACCCTTGGTTAAGGCCCTCCCTTGCCATGTTACTTGCCTGCCACCATACCGGCCGCTTTGCCTGGTCGCCATTGATGAAGACCTTCGTGGTTTAATGGGCCTTACCCAAAATAAACGAACTGCACCCCCCCCTCCCCTCTCCTCCTGTACAGGGCAAGTTTGAGCCTTTGAGTCAGATCGTAATGGATCAAGAATTCCCAGCTTGCTCCTTTTTGGCCGAATGCGTGGGCGTTCGGTCCAAACTTCACGCGGTTGCCGATGAGAAAGGTGACTCGACCACACCCATCTCTCCCCACCCCCCCCCCCCCCCCCCTCTTCGACTTCTCCCCCGTAAATATATCTTGGGGTGTGCCGCAACCGTTACAAGTGACCTCGCCTTATTCTTTGGGTCTTCCGGTAAAGTGACTTTACCGAAAGACCCAAAGAGAATATGAATTCCTGCAGTCACGAAAGCTTTAAGTCAGGATTTAACCTCGCCTTCCATAATAGAGGTTTTTTTGGGTTCGAAACGGTCGTCGGTGTGGAGAATACAAATGGCAAAATGAATGAGCAGGCAATGGGCCTTCTGCATTTAGATTTTTGTTCTTACATAACCCATCAGCCGCAAGGCTTTCTGGGAGGTTGCATATTTTCAGCAGCATTGTTTCAAGACACGCATACTCTCTCCTCCCGTTCCAAATCCTCACTCATCCCTGTTCTGTTTTTTTATTGTAGGAAATGCAGATCAGAAATTTTACAAATACAGCCAAGAGAAGACATTGGCCTGGCTGGAGACAAAGGTGAGAGAAACCTCCTAAATGAAATGGACCTTCATTCAGCCTGTGCATGTGTACCCAGGTGAGATACTCAGTGGTCCAGGATGAAGTCTCCTTTGCAGGAAGCGACCAAAGTCCACTAAGCCTCCCCTGCTCAAGTCCACGTGGGTCAGTGGCCCTGAAGCTATCAGTGGAATTCTACATTCCTATGGCACGGGTCGATCTCCGTATGGGATGACCACTATTTACTTCCCAGTTGTGGCAAAGGTGTGTGCTCGCGACGTCGTCAGTAGTGCAGAGACTCAGGCGGTTGGGAGTGGACCCACAGTGCCAGCCTTAATAGGCGCTCACTAACAGCACTTTGCCCAACGGTCTGTATGGCATACCCAGGGGCTCCCTCTTTGTGTATCTTGTGGCGAGATGTAAACTACCTCGCCTGGTATACAGAAGGTTGTGGGGTTCGATCTTGACCCTGACGTATGTATATTTGGAGTTTGGATGTTCTCCCCGTGGTCGCGTGGATTTTTCTCCGTGTCCTCCAGTTTTTCCCTCCATGTTTCGAATCAACATCACGCTTTAAGAGTAATTGGCTGCTAAAAATGTTCACCTGATAAGCCATTGCGTTGGGCTATCATTTGTGATAGCCAGGTCCCTTTTGAAAAAGAGCAAGATAGCTCAGTGGGCCTCACCTGGTAAAATAAGAAAAATGGTGATTTATAGATGCCCCGCTAAAATAATTTGGAGAAATTACAGAGAAAAACATTTTCATTCAGAGCCAATTTGAAATGTCTCCCACCATCTCAATAAATAAACTTGTTCAATCCATAATGCTCTCCTCTAAGATAAGGGAGCCATCGCTGTCACAACATCCACTCACCCGTCGTAAAGGTGATTGGTTCAATCATGGACACGTAAGTGAAAAACTAAACCTTTTTTTATTTTACCAGGTAAGGCTCACTGAGCTATTTAGCTCTTTTATCAGAATCGACCTGGCTATCACATGATAGCCGAACGAAGTGGATTATCGCGTCAAAATTTACAGCGGCCGAAAATTCTAAACTCTAAATGCACTATATTCTTGGTTCTTTCGGTAAAGTCACGTAGAAGGGAAACAAAATAATAAAAATATAAAACAATTAAATTATCACGATGTTTCGACTGCAACACAAGCAATCATCATCAGGTGTGAAAACCACAGCAAGAAAATTTGATGATGATTGCTTGTGTTGCAGTCTAAACGTGAGAATTGTATTGTTTTATATTTTATTGTTTCCCTTCTACGTGACTTTACAGAAAGAACCAAGAATATGAATCCCTGCATTCACGAAAGCTTTAAATCGAAATCTAAATGCATTTTTAGCATTGGTTCAGGTTGGCCTGGTGCTGCTAATGAAACTGTGTATGTCAAAACCGGTCCAGGACTTGATTAAATTTAATCAATGCTGAAAATTATGCAGCTCCCAGAAGGCCCGTGTAGGTGATGGGTTGTGTTTAAAAAAGAATGATCTGGAGGGGAGAGATGAGAATGTTATTGAGCTAGAGGGTCATTAGAAATGAGTGGAGTCTATAATTGTATCACCCTGTACAGTACATGTATTTACACGTGTGTATGTATGTGCGTCTATATATACCAGCTCGGCCTTAAAATAGTTCCTGGTGCGGTGCATAGGCACCAGCACCGGGGAGACAAAGGCTGTCGGGCGTGAAACTCCATAACCCAGGGTGGTAAGATGCCAATTACCTTGCCTGGTATATATCAGGTCATGGGTTCGATGGCCACCCAGACGCCTGTATTTGGAGTTTGCATGTTCTCCCGGTGGTCGCTTGGATTTTTACCCGGGTCCTCCGGTTTTTGCCCCTCCACGTTTAGAATCGGCGTCACGCGTTTCGAGTGATTGCCTGCTCTAAATTTTTGCCACGTGATTACGCAGCTTTGTTGAGCTATCGCTTGCGACGGGGCAGGTCGCGTCTGAATAAGATCTCCATAGCTCGGTGGGGCCGTGGGCCTTACCTGGTCAAATAAAAACAGTAAGATGGGAGCGACCGCTTTCCATAGTTTAAAAAAAGAAACCCCCCTCCCACCAAGCCAACCGTAATAGGCACTCGCTAACAGCGCTTGCCCGGCAAAGCCTCTACGGGTGGAATCCCTTGCACGCCTTCAAGCGGCGGCGCAAGCGATGAGCCCACTGCCCTGCGACGCTGGCTGCCCGGGTTCGATCGCTGCCCCCCACGGCTAACGTCGGTGGCGATTATCTAAACCGTTGCTGCACCTGCGGTTTCGTAACGCGGCACGGAAGGGGTGGGGGGGGGGGGGGGTCCTTTGTACGACCGGCGCCACCACGATATTTACATAGCGGCTTGCCGCCGCCGCCGCCGCCAATTCTCTTCACCTGTTGCGTGCGCCCGACCGCAAGCGCGCGGCCGTGTGTTGTTGTTTTTTTTAGCGACGTCCGGAGAGAATTTAAAAAAAAACGACCGATGAATTAAACATTTTCTTTTTTCTCTGAGCGGGTGGGTTAGCTGGTGGTGGGAGGTGGGGCGGGCGGGCGTGGAGTGAGGTGGGGGGTGTGTGTGCAGGCGGTGATGCCATCTGTCCGCGGCTGGATAATGCGCTGCCTGGCAACCGTGTCGTCACGGCAACCGTAGCTTGGAAACGGCCGCATCACCGCCGCCGCTGCTGGGTTTCGCCCGCTTCCTACCGCCCCCCGCCGCCTCCCTCCCTGACTGCGGGAGACGCCATGCAGCCTCTCCTGGTTAATGTGGTCCTTTGTGGCTAGGAGCAAGGGCGCCGTGTGTGTGTGTGTGCAGTGTGTAGGTGTGCGTGTGTGTAGGTCCTTTGTGGCTGGGAGCAGGCGTGTGTGTGTGTGTGCAGTGGGGAGCGGTAGTGGAGCGGTAGTGGAGCGGTAGTGTAGCGGTTAGCGCGCTGTGCTATGAACCTGGCGACCCGGGTTCGATTCCCGCTCACGGCCAACACCAGTGACGATTATCTGAACCGGTCCTGGGCATCCCCTAGGTCGACTCAGCCTCAAATGAGTACCTAGTGCGGTGTGTTAACATCGCCACTGGGGAGACTAAGGCGGTCGGGCGTGGTGCTGGCCACCCACCCCCTCGTGTACCGTTCCGGCCTTCATAGGTGCTCGCTAACAGCACTTGCCTCTACAGTCTGCCATGGCTATATTGGGGATCTTTGTCTTTGTGCAGTGTGTTGGTGTGCGTGTGTGTAGGTTCTTTGTGGCTAGGAGCAGGCGCGTGTGTGTGTATGCATGTGTTTGCGTGTACCTTGTATGTATGTTGAACTTCTTTCGCATCGTATGTAGCCAACCATGCTAATCAGAGGTGCGAAGACCGTGCTGGCCTTCATAGGTGCTCGCTAACAGCACTTGCCCCAACAGTCTGTTAAGACTAAATGGGTGGTCATTGTCTTCGTTGTGTGTTTGTGGGAGCGCTAGTGTAGCGGTTTGCGCGCTGCATTACGCTATGAACCCAGCGGCACAAGTTTAATGCCTAATCACAGCCAACATCGATTACAAATATCTGAACTGGTCCTGGGCCTCCCCTAAGTCGACTCATCCTCAATTGAGTACCTGATGCGGTTTGTAAACATCGCCACTAGGGAGGCAAAGGTGGCCGGGCGTGGTGCTGGCCACCCACCGTCTCGTGTCTTGTGCCAGGCTTAATAGATGCTCGCTAACAGCCCGTGCCCCAACAGTCTATACAGGGGATCTTTATGTGGGGTGAGCAGTAACAAAGTGGTGAGCGCACTTTATCTCATCCGTGGCTCACATCAGCAATGGTGATCTAAACCGGTCCTGGCCTTGCCCTCGGTTGCCTTAAATGTGGTGTGCACAACATCGGCACTGGGGAGACGAAGGTGGCTGGGCATCGGTGCTCTAAACACCACCCCCTACATGCACCGTGCCATGCCGCGCCAGCCTTAACACCTGCTCGCTAAAGCCACTGGCCCCAACAGCCGGTACGGCCATAGGGGCGGGAGGGGGGGGAGCTCCTTTGTACCTTGGACAAATAAAATACTCTTATCTGTTTACATATTGGTACAATAGTCACCCTATATCTGTTTAACGTTTCTGTACCTTAATTATATCTTTATCTTGTGGCCCAGACGACTTACGCAGGGAACTGTTTGCGCCAGCGTTGTCTCGACGTCTCGCGGGACGCCCTCGTTTTTGCCCTGATTTCTATTCACCTCTTTGCTGTACCTCGCGTCTTTTGCTTTTGTCATTCTCGGGCGACCCAGGTCGCTCATACCCGGTCTATTGAGTAGCCCCCCCCCCCCCCCCACGTGGATTAACAACACAAACTTGACCTAAACTTGACCTTTGTACGCGTGACATCAACCCAGGTGGCAAGGGTGGTTAAAGCGCTCAAGGAGAAAAGCATCCCGGTGGGAGCCGGAGTTAAATCCGCGCTGTTCATCCGTCCAGACACCAGCGGCGCTTCCTCCGAAGGTGTGTGGTGTTGTGTTGTGTGTCAGTGTGTTAGGGGGGAGCGGTGGTGTCGCGGTTAGTGCGCTGCGCTACGAACCCAGCGGCCCGAGTTCCATTCCCCCTCGTGGCCAACAACGGTGAGGATTATCTGAACCGGTCCTGGGTCTCCCCTAGGTCGACTCAGCCTTAATTGAGTACCTGGTGCGGTGTGTAAACCTCGCCACTGGGGAGACAAAGGTGGCCGGGCGTGGTGCTGGCCACCCACCCCCTCCTTTTCTGTGCCTGCCTTCATCGGTGCAACTCGCTTACATCACTTGCCCGAACAGTCTGTTGAGGCTAAACGGGTGATCTTTGTCTTTGTTACCATTCCCACCCACGACCAATAACGGGCAAATATTTATTTTTACTTCTTTCGCACCGTACGTGGCCAACCGTGCTAATCGGAGGTTGCGGGGTGGGAAAGGACAACAAACCGAACACAAAAAAAGCAGTTCTCGAGAAATTCGCTTTCAGTCGAGATGATTTTAAGAGTGCACAGCTCCAGCAGCTTCCTAACATCGGAAGAAAAGAGCGGTCCAGACGGCCGCGGAGGCTCTTACGTCGGTGAGTTCCACAACATGGGTCGTACTCTTCGGGGTGTTGGTAATCCCATCTGCGGTACAACGGTGATGAGGGGGTGTCCCTTTACTCTGGCCCAGAGTACGTGCAAACAATTGACCAATTTGTCCACCTCTTCTCGATGGGGGGGGGGGGGGGGGGGGGGGCGGGGGGGCGTAAGGGTGAGAATTTCTCATTAAATTCTCGCGAATCCCCAGCCTCTTCCGTTCACGCCAGGACCAGCGACGATTTCGTCCTTCGATATCCACACGCTTGTCAAAAACCGTTCCAAGAATATTCCAGGGTGGTGTTTTTATTATTATTATTTTTGTTATTTCTCTTTTTAAACCGGAATAATAGCACCCCTCCTTTTTTTTTTCAAAAGCTGTGCGTCTCGTGCATATTCTTTGGGTGTAGCTTTCGAATTGCGCGAGCGTTTGTTGCCCTCATTTCGCGGGAAAAACTCGCCCCGTCTCGTCACGGTGGGCGAAACGGGTTTTGTGAACGTCGGGGCCAAAACAAGAGACGTGTGAATGGCACCCACGTCAGACGGCAGAGTGGACACGCGCAGAGGCCCCGTCCCGTCTCGTTCTGCCTCTCTCTCTCTCCGCGCCGATCTCTCACTCCGATGCCCCTTATCGTTCCCTCTTCAACCTTGGCGCTCAAATTGGAAATGTGGAGAGAGAAAAATGCCCTCCCGGTCTTGTCTTTGTCTGTTTCCTTTCATGTCTGTCCATCTGTCTGTTGCTGATTATCTTTCTCCGTTCTGACTGTGTCTTGTTTGTCTGTCTGTGTGTGTGTGTTTACGTGCCTGTATGGTTTTCTGTCCGTCTGTCGGTCTGACTGTTGGTCTGACTTGTTGGTCTGACTTGTTGGTCTGACTGTTTGGTCTGACTTGTTGGTCTGACTGTTGGTCTGACTGTTCGGTCTGACTGTCGGTCTGACTGTCGGTCTGACTGTCGGTCTGACTGTTCGGTCTGACTGTCGGTCTGACTGTCGGTCTGACTGTCGGTCTGACTGTCGGTCTGACTGTCGATCTGACTGTCGATCTGACTGTTCGGTCTGACTGTTCGGTCTGACTGTCGGTCTGACTGTTGGTCTGTCTTACAAACGTGTGTATCTGTCTCGAAGTGTTTCTGTATCTTGCCATCCATCTGTCCGTATCACTGTTCATCTGTTTATCTGTATTTTTGGCTGTCCATGCATATGTTCATTTTTCCCTCCATCAGTGCCTTTCTGTGTCCGTCTGTCCATCCACGATTTCATCTGCGCATCGCCCTTGTCCGTCAGTCCGTCCGGCCGCACATTTTTCATCCTGTCTACCCGTTTTTTTTCCATCCGTCGTCAGCCTGTCTGCCACTACATCCTCCTGCGCCGGTCGCTCAACACTTTCTCTTCCCCCGTACACACGCACACTGCGCACTTCCCCTCCTCCGACACTCGCCGAACATTTCCACTTTAAATTCATCTCCCGTTGCACCGTGCCGCCGCCGCCGCCGCCGCTGCCGCCGCCACCGCTGCTGCCTCGTTCGTGTGCGAGTGCGTGGGTGGGTCGCCGCCGCCGCCGCCGCCAATCGCTCGGGTGACTCATCCCCCTGCGGCGGTGGCGGCGCTGGCGCCGTTAAAGGGCGGGCGGGGCGGGCGGGCGGGCGGGCGGAGCGCGACGGGCCCTGCGAGTGGGCGTACGGAATCGTACGCGCTGTTGGCGAAGCGGACGGACGGACGTGGAGGGGTGGTCGGGGGGGGGAGCAGAACGAGCGAAGCCTACGGGGTCGGCACGGCCGGTACCTCGCGTGGTGGCATCACTCCCGTGCCGTCCCCTCCTTTCCTGTGCCGGATCCAGCAGCTGCTCCGATCGCAGTTTGCTCAACACGGTGTGGCTTTAGGTCTTCTCTTGCCGTAGATCACCAACCCCGAGGTTGCACTCCAGTGCCGGGCTCGGTGATTTGGCCTCCTCTTCAATGACCTCTTCCTGACCTGCAAGTTGCTTTACCCTATCCTCCTCCACCCTGAACGTGTGTCCAACCAATCACAACCTCTTCCTCAATTAAAAATAAACAAATTCATGAAGACAACACTTTTATTTTCTCAAAGATAAACTTAGACCAACAAGCTATCTTCTCAGTTGAATCCTGCATTGGGATATTTGGCCAGATTATCCTACTTTATGTACTGCGGGTTCATTATGTGCGATTTCACGTACATGCGGGTAATCTATTTATATGTGGTTTGAATTCGCTCTTACACGTGGCTATGCAGCCGCACGTGGGACACCATTGTGTACTGTATGTGTAATGTGTGTATTGTGTGTGTGCTGTATTTGTGTAATGTATGTATTGTGTGTTTGTGTGTTTACTTTGTATATACTGTGTGCGTGTACTGTGGGCGTTCAAGGTGCATGATTACCGCGTGGACTGAAACGCAGACGGCACTACCAACCACGGTGTGATGATGGTGGTGATGATGGTGGTGATGATGATTCCATGGTGCGGCCCACGATCCTCCAGGCCGAGCGTGAATCCACTTTGCCGTCCTTACAACCCCCACGGCAAATGGTTTGAGAGCGTCCCACTGAGCATCTGGCCCCGCTACATAATTTCCTTCTCTGAGGCTGCAGTGCCATTGACGAATGCGTCAAGCGTATGCAGCTGCTGTCGTTTGTGTTTGCACCACTGCCAGTGGGGAGCGGGAGGCGTTGCAGTTCGCGCTACGCTGCGCGATGAACCACGGCCGCCTTAGTTCGATTCCCGCTTGCGGCCTACACCGGCGACGATTATCTGAACCGGTCCTGGGCCTCCTCCCCGAGATCGACTCGGCCTCAAACGAGCACCTGGTGCGATGTGCAACCATCGCCACTGGCGGATTAAAAGGAGGCCAGGCGTGGTGCTGGCCACCCACCCCCCTCGTGTGCCGTGCCGTCCTTCATAGGTGCTGCTCGCTAACAGCACTTGCCCCAACAGTCCGTTAAGGCTACACTGGGGATCTTTGTCTTCGCAACACTGCCAACGTAGCAGCAGCAGCATCATAATACACGTTGAGGGTGGAGGAGGATAGGGTAAGCACCTTGCAGGTTGACGAGCACTGGAGTGCAACCCAGTGGTTGGTGATTGAGGGTGAAGAGAATACCTAAAGCCCCACCCTGTGGTGGTGAAGAAACTGCGACCGGAGCAGCTTCTGGGAACCGGCATCGGGAAGGAGGAGACGGCACGGGAGCCACGACGCGCAGTACTTGCCGTGCCGACCTCATAGACTTCATTCTTTTCGCTCCCCCCCCCCCCCCCCACCGTGCTGTGGCCTGACAAACACTGACCCGGCTGCCATGAGCAAGCTGAGCGGCAGTGCGCCGGAGCCCCCACAAGGCCCTGCGGCGATTCGCGTGGGAGTCGGCCATCTTGCGTGTCAAGAACACGCAAATTGGACAATTGGGCCACGGCAAATTTTGCGCGATCTGGGAATGGCGGCGGCACCCGCACCCCCCCCCCCCCCCTCCCTCTTGTCCTCGTGATGACACCGGGCAGGGTGAGAATTCGATGGAGGCCTCGTGATGGGGGGGGGGGGGATGGTGGTGGTCGAGGTGGGGAACACATTCCTGCGGAGGGAGCTGGTAGGAACGTTGGGTTGCTCGGTCAGTGGCCAGGGTCAACGGCAGCACCACGTGGTGTATTCCGCAAATATGCCCGACTGTGAGGGCGGGCACAAGCCGGCGTGAGTAGGTTAAACGTTGAGTTTTATAAGGGCACTACGGGGTGACCAGCCTCTCCCCACCCCTCCCACCCCCCACCCAGCCCCTCCCCACCCGCCCCACCCAGCCGCTCCCCTCTCCACCCAGCCCCCCCCTCCCATTTTTGGATGCATGACGGACGGACGGACACAATAATCCCCTGTGGGCTGGTGTAACCAGGAGGTTCCTACCAGTATAATGTTCTTGCAAAATGGCCGTACTCCTGTTGCTAATGAAATTTCATGATGGCGATTTTTCTGGTGCTGCTGATAATAATGATGATCATTTCAATTTTTTGTTCCCAGCTGGTAATAATTTTGCTGCTCCCACTCTTAATGTTTTTGTATGTTGCTGCCGCTGATGGTGGTGATGCTGCTGCTGATGATGATTACTTCAATTTTCCTTAGACTGCGACTAATGTTGTTGCTGCTGATGGTGACAAAGATGATGATGATGCTGCTGTTGTTACCGTTGCCACTCCTGCTTTTCATGATGATGACGAACTCGATGACAAGTGTTTGCTTGTGTGCCGTACAGGCCTTGACAGAGTGCTACTTGCTAACAGCACTTACCCCATAAGTATGTTAAGGCTAATAATAGGGGTTTTCCCCTTTTTTCTGGCAACAAAACTGAAACCTTTTTACAAGGATTCATGTCTGCATTAACCACAATACCTGCAGTCAAAATGCAAACAAAAAACATACAATGATAATATATGATGATGCATTGTCCTTGAAACTGATTGGTCCACACCAAGGGACGGCTTTCTTTTGAGCCTCGACACAAATTGGTGCTCGACCAGATGACGCCAAAAGACGTACAGCTCAAAGACAATGCACTATCAAAGTAATGAGGGCTCGGGGTGAGTACCAAAATATAATAATAGTAATAGGGTTTTTGACCTTGTCTTTGAGCTGTACGCCTTTTGGCGTCATCTGGTCGAGCACCAATTGGGTCGAGGCTCAAAAGAAAGCAGTCCCTTGGTACTCTTTGGTTCTATTCGGTAAAGTCACAAAGAGTATGGATCCTTGCTGTCACGAAAGCTTAAAATCTAGAACAGTCCCTTGGTGTGGACCAATCAGTTTCAAGGACAATGCATATATTATCATAGTATGTTTTTTGTTTGCATTTTGACTGCAGGTATTGTGGTTAATGCAGACATGAATCCTTGTAAAAAGGTTTCAGTTTTGTTGCCAGTAAAAGGGGAAAAACCCTATTATTATATTTTGGTACTGGCAAAGTAGGTCTAATGATGTGTTAAGGCTATAAGGGGGATCTATGTCTTTGTCCGCAGAAGAGTACCTGCGCTACGCCCACGGCCTCATCTCCGAGTACCTGGAGACTGAATTGAGTTCTCGTTTGCAAGAACACTTGGGGTGAGACATCCGCTATATAAACACTCACCTGCCTGTGTTTTATCAATAAAGCTGCTAACCGGGGGCATTAATACCCTATCTTCTTCGTACCGCTGATGTTGATGTAGAGCAACAACTATCGAGGTGGTGGTTGAGCCAGATTGCGTCGGGAGAAGCGGAGTGGTTACTCTGGGCGTCTGAAATAGAGCTTCATAGCTCATCGGATTCCTCCAGTATAAATAAATATTATGATTCCGAATCGGGTTCAATTCTCAAGCACGGCTAACATCGGTGGCGATCCGTAATAGAGATTTTGTTTTTGCATTAGATCACGTAAGTATAATTGTGTCGTTAAACCCGCCACCACCCGACACAGCCAACTGTTAAGGTTTGTCACGTAATCAAAACGTGCCAATTCGTTACGAGTTCAGCGCACAGGTGTGATGGAAGAGTGAACCCACGACATTTAAAATTCGAAACCTGCTGCTGTCTATTTCGAGTTTGCATGTCTCTCTCTCATCCTCATCACGGTGTAGTGTATAGTAGTAGCGTATAGTGTAGCGTATAGTGTAGTATACTACTTCAGCCCACCGGTGTGTTGGAGAGGAGATCCACAACATTTACAATTTGAGTGCCGTGACATTACAACACCCGGTATTATCGGGCGACGGCAAGGAAAGAACCCCCCAAAAAAACCTCTTGGATAATATTGGTTGCCACAGCTTACGTGTCATATCGGTGGTGATGATCAGTACCTGCTCTGGGCCCTCCCATTCCTGTATCATCTCTGGCCTTTTAAAACAACAACAACCTGGATTTGGGGGTGGGGCGCCGGAAAAATCATTCTCGGCCGGCGCGTGGGAACTCCACGAGCCCCCTTGTGCTGACTCAATGGTGGACTCTGGTGGACTCGGGAGGTCTCAGGTGGACTTAGTAGTCTCAGGTGGACTCAGGGGGACTCGGGGGGACTCAGGTGGTCTCAGGTAGCCTCAGGTGGACTGCTGAAGCGACAGTCACCTGGCACTTAAGCCGAGGACTGCCTGCAGCAAGAGTGACAATAACCGCATTTCCCCCAACAGCCTGTGAGGACTATATGGTTGATTTATGTCGTTGTGCGTGGCGTGCGTGTGTGTTGCAGAATCTTTGACGTGTCCCTCGTCGCGGAGGGAGAGCACCAGGCCTCCAAGGTGATTCCTACGGTCGGCACGGCAACGTTTGCGCGATCGGGCCGTGTGTGTGTGTCCCTGTGGTCACGGCGATGGACTCCCAATCCAGAGGTCGTCGTGAGTTCAAGTTCTGGTCGTCAGCTCGGCCCGTCGTTGTGATTCAAATGGGGCCGATAAAACGAACACTGTGGTTTTTGTCTGCTTCACCCTCTGTGTGGTGTATATATATATATTTTTTTTCAAAATACTTTCCAATTATTGCTTCCGCAAGGACAGATAGCATCGCTCCGTGTAAAGGACGCACTGCGCAGTGCGTCCTTTACACGGGCGCGACAGCGCATGTGGAAAAATACACAGGCACGAACGCACATAGGCACTCGCCTATGCACACTTGCAAACACGCACAAACGCACGTACAAGCGTGCGCGCAAACACGCGCGCACAAGCATACGAGCACGCGCGCACAAACCCGCGCCAGCATGAGCTGAAATAGACCGTTATCACATCTGCGGGATTCATTGCACCAACCTGGCCGTGTGTGTGTTGGCTCAATTGGTCAGCGGCGCACACTGCTCTACGAACCCGGCGATCCCAGTTCGATTTCCCGCTCCCCGCCTGTCACGGTGGCGAATATCCGAACCGGTCATAGGACTCCCCTAGAGTACCTTGTGCAGTGTGTAAACTTCAACACTGGGGAGACAAAGACGGCCGGGCATGACGTTGGCCATCCACCCCCTTCGTGTGCCGTACTGCCCCTTCATGTGCACTCGACAACAGCACTCGCCCTCAACGATCTGTTGAAGGCTGTGTGGGGGATCTTTGTCTTTTGTGCGTGTTCGTGGGGAGCGTTGGCGCAATGTGCTACGAACACGTTGAGCAGAGCTTGATTACCAGCTACGGCTATCGTCGGTGGGTGATTGACCTTCGAACCGGGACTCCCCTACGTCGAGTCAACACCGAGTCACGAGCTGCAACGTTCATTTCGGTCCCTAAAGAAGCTTCCAGCGTGCGGAGCACGAAACGTTGACGATGGTCACGGAAGCGGCACAACCCGAAAACGCATCGCACAGCTAAGCAGCCGCAGCCGTGAAAACAAACCCACGGCACTGTGGCCATCGTCATCTTTATTTCGGTGAGTTTTTTTTGTTTTACAGCTTACGCTCGGGCCGATGTATTCCGAGCCGCCGCCAACTCGGACGACACATTCGCGGCGCGACACCTCGGATAGCGAAGCTCAAAAAATAAACACGTGGGGCCCCGTTGGAAAGCGATAAAATAGTTTGAATGTTTGCAACGTGCCGCCACGCCGCGGCAAAAATTCCCCGGGCAAGAGCCGGGGCGGAGTGCGTGACCGCACTCGTGCGATCCGGCGGCGCTTTGGGGGAGGCATCGTCGATGTGCCGTTTGCCAAAAAGCGCTCCGCTCGGTGGGCTGCGAGGTGACCAGGAGGTGGCAGTGCAGCAAGTGGGTTCCCAGCCGAGAGCCGTCTTCCGCCTGGGTGTTTTCCAGAGTCGGGGTGTTGTGCGTTTCGCAGAAGGGTGGATTACCAGCACGTGCGTGCCGGAGAGAATCCCATGCGTCTTGTCAACGAAAGGAGCCATCCATTTAGTACTTTACGCAAAAATCTGTCAAAACTTGACCCCCCCCACTCCCTGTACACACGCGTGAATTTTTGCAAACCCCCCCCACCAGCGTACGTGTGCCTGACGCACCCCCCCCCCCCCGAATCCTATATAGCGGCCGATATTTAATCCACGCAGAAACGATCAAGGATTAATAATATGAACGTGTTTAAGCAAACAAATAATCCACCACCAGAATATTTAAATAATTTGAAGGCCAATGTAGACAAATTATTATTGAGGCTTCACCCTCCCACCCCCCCGTTTCCTATGCGTACGTACATTGTCAGTAGACCCCCCCCCATACACAAGCGGTACGCATTTACTAAATGGCCCCAAAGACATTGCGCCTCCGATGGGACAAATAACGTACAGAGGTACTAATAAGTCCTTATTTTACCCTCCTGTGTGGAAGGACAAAATGGTCTTGAGACTCGGTGAGGCCTTCTCGGTGAGGCAAGAAGGACATTTCTTATACCTGCGCCGGACTCGCGGACGCTGGCCCAAACAAAATGCGCAGCTCAAAGCTCTGCACTGTCCACGAGGAGCTGTTGCTACGGGGACCGGGAGGTCGTTGATCGACGGCGTTGGTCGTGGTTTCTCGTCGAGCTTTGTTGGGCCCCGTGCAGGGCTGTGCCCCTGTTCACAGTGAGGCTCGCAGGGGTGCATGCTGGGAATTGCTCAGGGGGAAAAAAACACAAATGATCAGAGGTGTGACATTGGCAATTGAGTAAAGTTAATGGGGCCCGGCTCTGCCTCACTGTGTGCTGCAAAGAAAAGCCTTGGACCTGAGGCGACGTTCAAGGTTTGAACGCTTTTAGAACTGCCTTTTTGCCTTTAGTTGTACTTCCTTCGCACGTCCGATAAGCACGGCTGGCTGCGTACGGTGCGAAGGAAGCTCGCCGTGCGTACTCGCGCGCACACCCACTGCTGGACCGTCGGCTAGGATCTACCCAAAACGACCGTCGCCATCTTCCCGCGGTCTCGCGACGCGGCGGCCCGCGAGCTGACGTCGGCGCCGTGCATCACCGAGCGCGTTCGCCCGCTCTCTTCGCAGAAGCGGAAGCGATGCGACCTGCGGGTCGAGGCGGCCGAAGACTACTCCAAGGGCTCGCACGGCGCGGGGAAAGCGGCCAAGGTGAGGGGGAGCGAGGGGGGCCACGGCGCCCAAAGTGACCGCTTTGCCGATCGCACCGCCGGCGATCCCTTCGGTTGCAGATTGCGGCCGGCGCGTCGTCGTCGTCGTCGTCGTCGGCGAGCGATGCGCGAGCGGGTGGGTTGGCGGGCGGGTTCTGCTGCGTTGTTGGTGAGTGGCGGCAACCTGGGTTCGCGGTGAGTGCTGCCTGCCGGCGAGTGGAACGCTTGGTTGTAGTTGAGGTCCGTTGAGCAGCGCGGTGAGCTTTTGTTGAGAGTGCTATCGAGCATTGCCGAATTGGTTGAGCGCGTCCCGAGTTCGTGAGTGGAGAGAGCTGGTGAGCGGCGATCGTTGTCCCTGTCGCTAGTGTTGGGGAGTTATTGGCGGGGAGGAGACGTTTGTGAGTTCTGGTGAGCGATGTTGAGTGGCGAGTGATGGAGCGGTGAGTTCGTAGAGTGTGGGCCGGCATGCATTTGTTCATTGCTCGCCACTGATGTTTGTTAGCCATGGCTGGGAATCCAACTCGGGTCATCGGGTTCTTGAGTGCGAACCTCTGCGCTATCGCTCCCCACAGTCACACACAAAGACAAAGATTCCCCCCTTATAGCCTGAACAGACTGTAGGGGCAAGTGCTGTTAGCGAGTAGCACCTATGAAGGCCGGCACGGCACACGACGGGGTGAATGGCTAACACCACGCCCGGCCGTCTTTGTCTCCCTAGTGGCGATGTGTACGCACTGCACTGAGTACTTACTTGAGGCTGAGTTGACCTAGGGGAGGCCCAGGACCGGTTCAGATAATTGTCACCAGTGTTGACCATGAGCGGGAATCGAACCCGGGTTGCTGGGGTTCGTAGCGCGGCGCGCTAACCGCTACACTGCCACTCCCCATATTTACACACGGACACAAAGACACAACTCTCAGAGACACAAAACAGACAAAAAGACAAATCATTCCCACCGATAAACAACCCATGCCAATTTTCACCGAACCACCACCACCACCACTCTCTGGGTCTCTTCAACGGACAGCCGCTGTTGACTTCTCTAAAGCCGGTACCGACTTTATGAACCCTGGGTGCAGAGATGTTAACTCCCTCACCTGGTATGCAGGAGGTTTGTGGTTTCGATCCTGACCCCCGACGTCTGTATATTTTGAGTTTGCATGTCCTCTCTTCTCCGGGTCCTCCGGGTTTTTCCCCTCCACATTTAGAAAAAAACGTGCGTTTAGAGGATTCGCCTGCTGTAAATGTCCACACGATGACAAGCCACCTTGTTGAGCCATCATTTGTGGCTGGGTCGCTTCTGAAAAAGGGCACCGTAGCTCGGTGTGGGCCTTACACCTGGTACAATAAATAAAGGGGCAATAGAGCCACGTCAACCGGTGATTTACACACAACCTTATGCCCAATCAATTTTCTCCGCCACTGTTTCTATGACTTATTTATTTTTTCCTTCTCGATTTGAAGTTTTCGTGACTGCACGGATCGATACTCTTTGGTTCTTTCGGTAAAGTCACGTAGGTAAAGAAAATAAAAATGTATATTTTTTTTTATTTCAGTAACCCCGGGTCACTCAACCGGAATCAGAATATTTCATCATACTGAAGGAATCCGATGAGCTATAAAGCTCTTTTTAACAGATGTCCAGTAGGGGCCGTCAGAACGTTACAACAAACAATATAAAAGCACGATAGGGGTACAAAGTATAGGAAAGGTAAAAAAATCACTTAAATATATATAAAAATAAAACTGCATTTTTTTTTCCCAGGTAAAGGCCCACTGAGGTATCAACATATTTCTCCGAAGTGACCTAGCCACAAATGATAGCTCGACACAAGTGTCTGATCGCGTGGCAAAATTCATGGCAGCCATAATAATCTAAAAGAGTCGTCTCAAGCGAGTCGCCGCCCCGGCTAAACAAATGGGCGGAGAGTGGAACTCGCTCGCTTAGTCGGATGCTCTCTCGCCCGCTGTGCCACCTGGCGGGATGGAACGCGAGTAGGAACGCGAGTAGGAACGAGAGTTGGAACGAGAGTTGGAACGAGAGTAGGAACGAGAGTAGGAACGAGAGTAGGAACGAGAGTAGGGACGAGAGTAGGAACGAGAGTAGGAACGAGAGTAGGAACGAGAGTAGGGACGAGAGTAGGAACGAGAGTAGGAATGAGAGTAGGAACGAGAGTAGGAACGAGAGTAGGAACGAGAGTAGGGACGAGAGTAGGAACGAGAGTAGGAACGAGAGTAGGAACGAGAGTAGGAACGAGAGTAGGAACGAGAGTAGGAACGCGAGCAGGAACGAGAGTAGGGACACGAGCAGGAACGAGAGTAGGAACGAGAGTAGGAACGCGAGCTGGAACGCGAGGAGGAACGAGAGTAGGAACGAGAGTAGGAACGAGAGTAGGGACACGAGCAGGAACGAGAGTAGGAACGAGAGTAGGAACGAGAGTAGGAACGAGAGTAGGGACACGAGCAGGAACGAGAGTAGGAACGAGAGTAGGAACGCGAGCTGGAACGCGAGGAGGAACGAGAGTAGGAACGAGAGTAGGAACGAGAGTAGGGACACGAGCAGGAACGAGAGTAGGAACGAGAGTAGGAACGAGAGTAGGAACGAGAGTAGGAACGAGAGTAGGAACGAGAGTAGGAACGAGAGTAGGGACGCGAGCAGGAACGAGAGTAGGAACGAGAGTAGGAACGCGAGTAGGAACGAGAGTAGGAACACGAGCTGGAACGCGAGGAGGAACGAGAGTAGGAACGAGAGTAGGAATGAGAGTAGGGACACGAGCAGGAACGAGAGTAGGAACGAGAGTAGGAACGCGAGCAGGAACGAGAGTAGGAACGAGAGTAGGAACGAGAGTAGGAATGAGAGTAGGAACAAGAGTAGGAACGCGAGTAGGGACGAGAGTAGGGACGAGAGTAGGGACGCGAGCAGGAACGAGAGTAGGAACGCGAGCAGGAACGAGAGTAGGAACGAGAGTAGGAACGCGAGTAGGAACGCGAGTAGGAACGAGAGTAGGGACGCGATCAGGAACGAGAGTAGGAACGAGAGTAGGAACGAGAGTAGGAATGAGAGTAGGGACACGAGCAGGAACGAGAGTAGGAACGAGAGTAGGGACGAGAGTAGGGACGAGAGTAGGGACGAGAGTAGGGACGAGAGTAGGAACGCGAGTAGGAACGAGAGTAGGAACGCGAGCTGGAACGCGAGCAGGAACGAGAGTAGGAACGAGAGTAGGAACGAGAGTAGGAACGAGAGTAGGGACGCGATCAGGAATGAGAGTAGGAATGAGAGTAGGAACGCGAGTAGGAACGCGAGGAGGAACGAGAGTAGGAACGAGAGTAGGGACACGAGCAGGAATGAGAGTAGGAATGAGAGTAGGAACGCGAGTAGGAACGAGAGTAGGAACGAGAGTAGGGACGAGAGTAGGGACGCGAGTAGGGACGCGAGTAGGGACGCGAGTAGGGACGCGAGTAGGGACGCGAGTAGGAACGAGAGTAGGGACGAGAGTAGGGACGAGAGTAGGGACGCGAGTAGGGACGCGAGTAGGGACGCGAGTAGGGACGCGAGTAGGGACGCGAGTAGGAACGAGAGTAGGAACGAGAGTAGGGACGAGAGTAGGGACGAGAGTAGGGACGAGAGTAGGGACGAGAGTAGGGACGAGAGTAGGGACGAGAGTAGGGACGAGAGTAGGGACGAGAGTAGGGACGAGAGTAGGGACGAGAGTAGGGACGAGAGTAGGGACGAGAGTAGGGACGAGAGTAGGGACGAGAGTAGGGACGAGAGTAGGGACGCGAGGAGGGACGCGAGTAGGCGACCCGGTTAATTAATTCATCGGCTTTGCCGTTCCCCGGCGCTCGTGCGACGCGAGCGATTCGGTGATGCTGCGGAGTTCGCGAGGGGCACGTTTGAATGTTTAACGGGCAAACGACCCGCGGCGAACTCCGTCGCCGCTCGCTCACCTGATGCTTATGGACGATGGTGACTCAGTGACCGATGTAAACGATGTTTGTGCTCGTCGGGTGGGACGAAGGCCGCTGCCAATAGCGGGGAAAAGCCAGGGGCCTCCAGAGGGGGAGAGAGCGAGAGGGCCACTCGGAGAGAGAGAGGACGACTCGGAGAGAGAGAGAGGACGACTCGGAGAGAGAGGACGACTCGGAGAGAGAGAGGACGACTCGGAGAGAGAGAGGACGACTCGGGGAGAGAGAGAGAGGACGACTCGGAGAGAGAGAGGACGACTCGGAGAGAGAGAGAGGACGACTCGGAGAGAGAGAGGACGACTCGGAGAGAGAGAGGACGACTCGGAGAGAGAGAGAGGACGACTCGGAGAGAGAGGACGACTCGGAGAGAGAGAGGACGACTCGGAGAGAGAGAGGACGACTCGGAGAGAGAGAGGACGACTCGGAGAGAGAGAGGACGACTCGGGGAGAGAGAGAGAGGACGACTAGGAGAGAGAGAGAGGACGACTCGGGGAGAGAGGACGACTCGGGGAGAGAGAGAGAGGACGACTCGGAGAGAGAGAGGACGACTTGGGGGAGAGAGAGAGGACGATTTGGAGACGGAGGATGACGCGGGGAGAGAGAGAGGACGACTCGGGGAGAGAGAGAGAGGACAACTAGGAGAGAGAGAGGACGACTCGGGGAGGGAGGGCAACTCGGAGAGGACGTTTTTGAGAGAGAGGACGACTCGGGGAGAGAGAGAGAGGACGACTCGGAGAGGACGATTTGGAGACGGAGGATGACGTGGGGAGAGAGAGAGGACGCCTCAGGTAGAGAGAGATAGAGAGGTCGACTCGGAGGCACCAGGAGGAGGAAGCACAAACCGAGGAGTGGGAAAGCAGCAGCAGCCACGCAGTGGCGAGGTAGAGCTGGCGTCAATTTACCCCCTCCAAGCTCCACCGGACCGGGTCCTCCTCAAGGCCTGCGTGAAGTCCCACGCTGAACACTCACAAATATTCCTGCCCCGCCCGTCGATCGGTGAACCAAGCAATTTGCCTCCCGTCTGAGTCGGGCACAGGAGACAATGGCAAAGTAGGCAGAGCTTCACAACCGCCTGCGCAACCGAGTTCGACTCCCGTTCACGGCCAACGTCGGTGACGAATATCTGAACCGGTCCAGGGGCCCACCCCTATGTCAACCCGGCCACAAATCGGCACCCGGTGCGATGTGCGAACATTGCCACAAGGGAGAAAAAGGTGGCCGGACGTGGCGCTGGCCACCCACGCCCTTGCGTGCCGTGCCGACCCTTCATGGGTTACTCTCTTACAGCGCTTGCCCCAAAGGGTCCCTTAAAGGCTACACAGGGGACCTTTGTCTTTGCGTTAAAGAGATGGCTGAGAGCGCAGGTGGTTGTGCACCTGCCAGTGAGCTCAAGTCATTCAACCCTTGGCATCTTCATCCAGCAGCGGATTGATCATGGCTGCTGGTGCTGCTGCTCACGATTATGATGAAGGCACACATTGCAAAGATGTTAACTCCTTCCCGCAGAACGAAAAGCGAGTTTCGCGAGAGCACGGCAGCGAGATGTTAACTACCTCGCCTAGTATACAGGAGGTCGTGGGTTCGATCCCGACCGCTGCTGGTTCTGTCAATGTCGTGGACATTCCATATTCTCTACTAAAACAAACGTGAAAATGTAATTCTCATCAGGCCTCATTGGTGTCAATTGCAGTCTGTCTCTCTGGCCTCTCAGTTTACTATGAAGAAGGGCCATTGCCTGAAACGTCGCCTATTATATATGTTTACTTTCAAGACCATGCAGTGTTGTTATTGATGAACATTTTTGAGTTGTTGTTGTTGGCTCTGCTTTTGCACAACTTCCAAAGCAGCAGCACAAGCACCATCACCAAATAATTTATGGCGAGATGTCAACTCCCTCGCCTGGTATGCAGCAGCTCATGGGTTCTATCTCGACCCTGACGCCTGCTCAGTATGTGGAGTTTGCGTTTCTCTCACCCCGTGGTTGCGTGGATTTCCCTCCGGGTTTTTCCCCTCCACATTTAGAATCGACGTCGCGCGTTTTAAGGAGTCTTTCGGCTGCTATGAATTTCCGCGTGGTGGATAGGCCGCTTCGTTGAGCTGCCATTTGCGATAGCCAGGGTCGCTCGTGAAGAAAAATCTACACAGCAGCTCTGTTGGGGCCGTACTCTGGGGTAAAATAACAAATAGGAGGAGGAGGGAGGGAGGGGGCGACGGCGACCGGCCTCGCCAGTGCTGCCTGGGAGTTGAACGAGACCTCGACGGCTGATCCAATAATAAGCGGGCGGCATCTGGACGTTGCCCCCCCCCCACCCGGCGTGGGCGTGTGAGGCGCGTTTAGCCGTGTGGGGGGACGGGGGGGGGGGGGTTTGCCGCTGTCGGCGTCGGCCGACAGCTTGGCCGGAATGATGGCAATCGGACGCCCGCGTCAAAGTAATCAGGGGTCCCTGCGGTCGTGTTTGCCGAACTCTGCTCCAATTAGGAGCACAAGTGGGGGCCGTGCGTGTGTGTGTAGCGGTGGTACCCGATTATCTGAACCGGTCCTGGGCCTCCCCAAGGTCGACTCGGCATCGCACGAGTACCTGGTGCAGTGTATAAACCATGGCCACCCACCCCGCCGTGCCCCGTGCCAGCCTTCATGGGTGCTTGCAAAACCGCACTTGCCCCCCACAGTCTGTCAAGGCTATACGGGGGATCTTTGTATGTATGTTGAACTTTTTTAGGACCCTACGTAGCCAACCGTGCTAATCGGAGGCGCGTGCGCGCGTCCGTGCGTCCGTTTACCCATTCAACGAAATCGCGCGTTCCCATCACGCATTGATGAGACACAAGGACATTGATGCATGTTTAACGCGTTGACCGCTCTCCATCCCGCACAGCCAGCCCCGCTCGCCACACCGCTAGCAGCCGCCGCCGTCATCGCACGCTTTAAATTACACCGAGGGGGGGCTCCGAGGCGGGGCCTCACCTTTTACAATCGTGAGCTCGTCCTCGCTAGTAGGAACGACAATAATGATGGTGATGATAAATATATGAATGTGTTGAGGCGGAGAAACATCGGATCCGCCGATGAAACGCGACACACGTGCTGTTCGTCTCGCTCGAGAGTCAAGAAGCCCGCTCGTTTGCAAGTCAAAACGAGCGGCATTGTCATTGTTTTCACTTGCATCGCCGCAAACCGCTCTTGGGCTTGGTCCAGGTTAGAAGGTTATGGGCGCGTGTGTCTGTGTGCGTGTGCCCATGTGCGCGTCTGTCTGTGTGCGCTTGTCTGTGTGCGTGTGTGTGCGTGTCTGTCTGTGTGCGTGTGCCCGTGTGCGCGTGTCTGTCTGTGTGCGTGTCTGAGTGTCTGCGTGGGACGTGGGGGAGCGGTAGCGCAGTGGTTAGCGCGCTTTGCTAGGAACCCTGGCGGCCCGAGTTCGATTCCCGCACCACGCTGAATACCAATACCGGTAATGATTATCTGAACCGGTCCTAGGCCTCCCCTAGGTCGACTCGGCCTCAAATGAGTACCTGGTGTGGTGTGTAAACATCGCCACTAGGGAGACAAAGACGGCCGGGCGTGGTGCTGTCCACCCACCCCCACGTCTGCCGTGCCGGCCTTCATAGTTCCTTCTGCTGCAGCAGAAGGAACTATGCAGCAGAAGGAGGGCAGTTATCCTCATTGCTAGCAATACTATCGGCATCGGCAGCAGTTATCATTTTTGGCATCTTCATCATCAGCGTTTTAATCGGCAGTCAACAGCAGAAATATTCACAGAAGCAGGCGCACCGTCATCAGCTGCAGTAAGAGTCCTAGCATTATAATCAGCATCATCATCATCATCATCATAAAAAACCATCATCATTACCCCAGAGCGTGTAAACGCCAACACTAGGGAGACAAAGGCAGCCGGGCGTGATGTGTAGTACTCGTCACACTACCCATCTATGCACCCTGCTGACCATAATAGCTGCACGTTACACTTGCCAGTGTAAGTTACACGGGGGTTCTTTATGTTTTGTGTGTGTTATGTTGTTGATGCCGTGTATGTCTGTGTTCGTATGTAATGTTGCTATGCGATGATGTTGTGCGGCGATGTATATGCGATGGAGCTGTGCGTGCGTTTGTCTGATGCTGGTGTAACCGTGTGTGACGTTGGTGACGCGGGGAGCGGTGGTGCGGCTGTTAGCTCGTCGATTCTCGCTCACGGCCACCAACGCCACTGACAATTATCTGAACCGGTGCTGGGTTTCCCATAAGTCGGCTCGGCCTCAAATGAGGGAGTCAAAGGCGGCCGGGCGTGGTTGCCGGCCACCCACCCCTTCGTGTGCCCTGCCGGCACTTCGCTGGTGCTCGCTTAACAGCACTTGCCCCAACAGTCCGTTCAGGCCAGTGTTCGTCACTCATTTTCAGAGAGGGGGCCAACTTTCGCCAATAAGACATCATCAGTGTGAGGGTGTCGCCACACATTTGAAACCATCGGGGGTTTGACAGCAGCGCGATGATGATGATGATGGGGTCTGTTTTTACTTTTTGTGTATTGTCAGCGGCCGTACAAAATGCCGCCAGTGGCCGCCCAGTGGCCCGCGGGCCTTGCAGTCAAGAACCACCGGTGTAGGTTATCGGGAGGATCTTTGTCTTTTTGTGCGAGATGCTGATGTATTGCTGTGCGCTGTGTCTGCGTGCGCAGCCTGGCAAGCAGACCACAGCGCAGAGAGCCTTGGCCAAGGTGGACCGCACCGGGATGAAATCCATTTCCAGCTTCTTCACAGCCAAGGGAGAAAATAAATCCTGAGCCTCTGGAGGATAAACCCTTGCCGGATAACCTCCTGAGCCAACCGGTGAAACCATCATCTACGTCACAGTTGAGACTACTCGCAAAGTCGCCGGCCCACTTGCCTGCTAGGTTAGTGATTAAACTACCGCCACTGATCCATGGTGGAGTCGCTGCCTGAGACATTGCTTGAACCATCTGCTCATCCCCCTTTCCACGCAACGTGCTTAGTTCCCATCCTTACTCCCTGACACCAACTCCTGAACGTCACCAATCAGTGGCTGAACCCTGTGGCTAAACCCACCTGGTTAGTCAGTGGCTAAGCCAACTGGCTGTTAACTGACTGCAGAATCTCAACACGTTCATCATTAACACAGTGGCCCTTACAAGAACATAATGGGTGACGTTTTGGGCAATAACCGTTGCCAAAACCGTTAGCTATTATATATTTTTTAGCTTTTAAGGCCACAATGTCATTGACGATCGTGTTGAGTTTTGTTGTTGTTTGTGCTCGAGCACCACTGCCAACGCACAGTGCCAGATTATCCTAGTAGCACAAGAAGCTACACATGTAGCTACGGGCCCCGCACTTTCAAGGCCCCCGCACTAAATGCTTTCAAGATACCAATTCCGGTTCAGTGATTCTGCACTTGCTCTATTACCATAGTACTATACCGCCTTCAACTTTTACAAACGACTGGGTGTTTAAGGATAGCGATTTGTCGTATTATCTGGCTGTATAGAAAATAAAAAAATACAATTACTTTCTTGATTTGAAGCTTTCGTGACTGCAGGAATCCATACTTCTTTGGTTCTTTCGGTAAAGTCACGTAGTTATAAATGAAATAATGCAAATCACGACGTTTCGATCGCAGCACAAGCGGTCGTCATCAGGCAAAAAAAACCGTCGCTGAAACGGGATCGCTCGCGACCTGAAACCAGCCCATCGCCAACTTCGATAAACCTTCCGGCTAAACGCACTGCCGAAACCTCATGAGCTTCAAAGGCACGGGGCTATTGAGCCCCGCGGACCAAAACCGCAAGAGCAGAAGCCACCATCCGGCCAAGCCACCAGGGATAGATTTAAAATCTGCATTCACGGACAGACGCGAGCGCATGCGCGTGTGTGTGTGTGTGTGTGGGTGCGTCACTGGGGAACAGTAGTGTAGATGTTAGCGCGCTGCGCTACGAACCCGGGGAGCCGAGTTTGATTCCCGCTCACGACCATCGCCAGTGACGGTCATCTGAACCGAGCCTGGGCCTCCGCCCCCTAGGTCGACTCGGCATCAAATGAGTACCCGGTGCGGTGTGTAATCATCGCCACTCGGGAGACAAAGGCGGCCAGGCAATGGTGCTGGCCACCCACCCTCTCGTGCGCCGTGCCGGCCTTCATAGGTGCTACTCGCTAGCAGCAATTGCCTGAACAGTCTGTTACAGGCTATACGGGGGGGGGGGGGAGGGATCTTTATGTGTGTGTGTTTATGCGTGAGCTGCAACCGTGGGGAAAAGCAATAAAGTTATCCTGACGCCCACGGCTGCACCGGCTCTTCATTTGTACACACCGCGGCGCGTGAAGGCGGGCGCTGTGCCCTCCCCTAGGTTGACTCGGCCCAATGTGTACGCTGTGTCAAATGCCGCTGCCGCCAGCCACCTCCATCCGCCCTTAATAGGCGCTCGCTAACAACACGGTGCAAGCTGGCTTGGTGGGAGGAGGGGGGGGGGTAATAGGGTTTGTGTGTGCATGGGGAGCGGTGGCGCAGTGGTTAGCGCGCTGCGCTACGAACCCGGCGTTTCCCCGACTGCCATTCCCGCTCAGGGCCAACGTCGGTTACGATTGTCTTCAATCGGTCCTGGGCCTCCCCTAGGTCGACTCGGCCTCAAATGAGTACCTGGTGCGGTGGTGTAAACATCGCCACTGGTGCTGCCCACACGCACACCCCCTTCGTGTGCCGCTGCGGCCTTCAGGCGTGTTCCTCGCAGGCAGCGCTTGCCCCAACAGTCGTATTGAAGAAATGTGCACCACTGAGATGGAACCAACAACCCCTGGGGTTGCGAGGCCAGTGCGGTGACCACTGCACCCGCCCTGCCAGCATGCGCGTGCACGTGTACATAATTGCCTTATCTTTTCTAAAAATAATTACTGCACACTTACCCCATTAAACCCTTGCCTGCGTGCCTGCTTATCTGGCCAGATTAGCTTTTCACGCACGCAAAGACAAAGGTCCCCCATGTAGCTCGTGCATGCTGTTGGGGCAAGTGCCCTTAACGAGCGAGCACCCGTGGTGTGGCCACAACCGCGCCCCACCGCCTTTGTCTTGCCTGCGTTGATGTTTATGCACTACACCAGGGTGCACATTACGGCTGAGTCGACCTAGAGGAGGGGGAGGCCTATGCTCGGTGCAAATGTTCGCCAGTTAATTGGCGGTGACGTCACCACGGCGTTTGTGCCAGGCTGGGTGTGCCAACGATACGAGGCAAAGATCCCCCGTGAAGTCTTCAACAGACTCGGGGCAGGTTCTGTTTGCGAGTCGCGCCTATTCAAGCCAGCACGGCACACGACGGTTGTGGGTGGCCGCGCCCGGCCGCCTTTGTCTTCCCCACCGCGACACGCGGCGGTGTAGCGGTGGGACGCGATGACGGCATTGGCCGCGATTCGCACCTGCGATGTCATTCGCCCTAAGTGCTCGCTGCCCATGCACGGAGGCATGCTTTACGTTGTCGTTCGCGGCAAGTCTTATTTGGCGCCGAGTGGATTTGCATTGTCGTGTTGTGGGGCGGGGGGCCGGTGGGGGGGGGGGGCAATAGGGTGACGTTGGGTTCTCCAAACACGGGCGGAACGTCTGACTGACGTTCAAGAGTCTTGAGTTCTAGAGTCGTGGACCGAACAAACAAAACGCAAAATGTAAATTCGCGTTTTGCCTTGGCCCGTCGCCGATGTCACGGTGTTGCTGCTGCTGCTATTGTTGTTGTTGACGATTAATTATTTATTATTCACTGCAATATCATTTGGGACAAACGCTCCGAATGGAAACGCCTCTGAATGCAGGCCTCGCTTACAGGGGTAGAGGCAAAGGCGCAAGCCCTGCAATGGCTCGCTCACAACACTGCTGGCAGAAGGCCCACCGCTGAAATGTTATCTTATACAGATTTATATCGCCCCTTATTCCAAGGCGCTTTACAGCAACTATAAAATTGTACGTAAGGTGATAGCGGTTGAAATAAAGAGTGGGTTTATTATTAAAAGTTGCGGTGGTGACAGGAGAACAGGTGGAGGTGGTTATGGAGTGGTTGGGGTAGTGGCAGGGGTTGAGTTAGTGATGGGGGTTGGGGTAGTGATAGGGGTTGGGGTAGTGATAGGGGCTGGGGTAGTGATAGGGGTTGGGTTAGTGATGGGGGTTGGGGTAGTGATAGGGGTTGGGGTAGTGATAGGGGCTGGGGTAGTGATAGGGGTTTGGTTGATCGGGGTTGGGGTAGTGATGGGGGTTGGGGTAGTGATAGGGGTTGGGGTAGTGATAGGGATTGGGGTTGTGATAGGGGTTGGGGTAGTGATAGGGGTTGGGGTCGTGATAGGGGTAGTGATGGGGGTTGGGGTAGTGATGGGGGTTGGGGTAGTGATGGGGGTTGGGGTAGTGATGAGGGTTGGGGTAGTGATAGTGGTAGGTTTAGTACGTGCAAGTCATTGGTCATTGGTGCTGAGACCATCAACTCTACCGCTGGGAATCTGGTTTACTCTTTGGTTCTTTCGGTAAAGTCACGTAGTCATGGGCGACTGAAACTTGGAATCAAACCCAGGCCCTTAGTAGTGCTGGAGCCAAATCAGTGTCGTTTTACCCCAAGTCTGTCTATTCCGATTGTGTTATTGCCATGGGGTGAGATGAAAAATATATTCGGGGCAAGTGCTGTCAGCGAGTGGCAACAACAACATCCGCCATTCGCCACGAAATGGCGGTGACGTCACCACGACGCTTGTGCCAGGCTATGTGCACGTTGAGGCCACGTGAAGTGTCGAACGCCCGCTGGCAGGAGGTCACAGGACAGACCCAGGTGCCACGGGTCGACTGCTGAGATGACTGGCTGATGCACCACCTGTGCCCCCTACTGTGCCAACCTGCTGTGCTTTAGCCACCCGGCGCTCCGCGCGTTGTTGTGAGCGTCGCTCCTCCACCCTCCGTTGTTGTTGGAGGGCGACTACCTAGTCGCGTCCTTCACGAGCCTCCACAGAGGCCAATTTTGACACCGCTGGTACCAGTCATCGGCAAGTCCACTCAGCTCCACATCCTCCTGTACCACGTCACTCCATCTCTGCTCTAGCCCGTGCCGCGCCCGTTTATCCAGCCGAACAAAAGCTGTTTCGGCATGCGGTTGCTGGGCATGCGGGCTACATGACCCAGCAAACGCAGCCTTGCCTGCCGGAGGAGCTCACCGATGGGACTTTGTCCAGATCTTTCAAGGATTTGCGAGCTCCTCACACAATCCAGCCTGATTAAACCCAGGATGGGTCTTAGGCAGGCCAGCCTAAATGTTTCTAACCGGTGAAGATGTTCCATTCGGGGGGGTCCACGTTTGGCAAGCGTAAAGAAGGGTTGGAATGACCGTGGCCGAGAAGACCTGAAGCTTAGTGCGGAGCGACAGACCAGGTAGCTTCCACACAACGTTAACGCAACCGATGAAAAGATACTGCCGCTCGACTGATTCGGAGTGAGACCTCTGCTGTTAAACTGGAGCCGGTCATAAGCACACTGCCCAGGTATGGGAAACTCTCCACTCTCTCCACAACTTCCCCATCACCGATTGGGAGTTGTGGGGGTGGAGTATCCGATGGTACAAAATACTCAGGCAGGTGCTTAGTTTTGGTAGGGCTGATGGTAAGGCCCCATCTCTTAGTGGCACGCTCCAGTCTCAGCAGCAGCGTCTCCAACTCCTCCTCTGAATGAGCAGCTATTACCAAATCGTCAGCATACATAACGTGGTTGAGCAATAGGGAGCCATCCCTTGACCGCACCCGGGCATTCATCAGCCTCCCATTATATCTACCAAATGGAGGTTCCCCTGGTACAGCTATTGAAGGCTTCACGAACTACGTGGTCAAAATAGATGTTAAAAAATGTGGCAGCCAGAGGACATCCCTGTTGCACTCCAAGGTGAACAGGGAATGGCTCCGACTCCCGGCCACGTACAGTAATAGAAAAAAAGTATTTGATCCCCTGCTGATTTTGTACGTTTGCCCACTGACAAAGAAATGATCAGTCTATAATTTTAATGGTAGGTTTATTTGAATAGTGAGAGAAGAACAACAAAAAAAATCCAGGAAAACGCATGTCAATAATGTTATAAATTGATTTGCATTTTAATGAGAGAAATATGTATTTGACCCTTCTGCAAAACATGACTTGGTAATTGGTGGCAAAACCCTTGTTGGCATTCACAGAGGTCAGACGTTTCTTGTAGTTGGCCACCAGGTTTGCACACATCTCAGGAGGGATTTTGTCCAACTCCTCTTTGCAGATCTTCTCCAAGTCATTAAGTTTTCGAGGCTGACGTTTGACAACTCGAACCTTCAGCTCCCTCCACAGATTTTCTATGGGATTAAGGTCTGGAGACTGGCTAGG